CAAAATAACATCCCCACAGACGGCTATCCCTACGTCTTTCTCAAACTGCTGGCGTTTCACAAACGCTCGTGTTTTTCTTTCTGGGTTTGCTTGGAGCTGTTTCAGGAGCGTTTCTGAGATGAGTAAAAACACAGTGAGGCGAAAAGCCAAACTTGGCTTTCGTAGATCCCAAGAGAGAGGCCCAATTTATCCCCGTCGTCTCCAAGTATTGACCAACAGCGTCTCAGCTTACAGCCTCAAACCGAGATTTGTGTGTGGCACAGCGAGCCCCTCGGAGCTCTCTGCCAACACCCTGATCCTGACAGCAGAAAACAGATCCAGATAAACAAAGACTCGTCTTAGACATGCTGCTTTTACTGAAGGATGGAGATCATGTCTGAAATTTCCTCTCTGCTTAAGAATAAACAAACCTGCTCTCTCTGCTAATAGTATGTGTAACTGATGTTTATTAATAGCAGCTTTTAGAGTAGTATTGATCTGCCTTTTTCAGGATAAAGACATCCATAGAAGCAAAAAGGGTTCCATTTCAAAGATGTTTGGGTTACATATGCCTATTCCTCTAACAGCTCTTAAGAAGGTAATGCACTCTATGAAGTGTGGCAAACCATCATAATAATAACTCACCGGAAAATATGTTCTCGGTTATAAAGTTTTATTCTGGAAAACATCTCCTGCTTGGACGGCTTCTTCTGTAATTGCTTGAAACTTGCTGCAAACTTCACTGTTATGTACAAATACAAACTCGTACTTCTGACTCACTTTCTGCCTCTATGTTGCTGCCAAATGTGTTTTTGAGTTATTGTTTTATTCTGTACTCTCTCTCTCTGTCTTTTAAGCCCCTCTGAGGATGGGTGTTGCAATCAAGCATCTACCATGACAAAGATACTCGCATTGGATGGCTGTGCCTAGTTTATGTATTTTGTGTCAGTCCATAACAAATAAACCATAAATACACAACAAATTAAAAGTCTTACACATGCAGCTGCTGTAAGAAGCATAAAAAAATCTGATGTTTCGAGAGGAATGAAGAGAAATCGTTGCTCTAAGAGGTGTGTTGTTTCTTCACTGGGATGCTTCAGTACTTTAATAAGAGGGAGGTGGAAAAAGGCATAAAGCTGCCAAATATATAACTTTTGGTGTAGCAGAAGTCTGAAACAGTTTTATGATGCATTTTGAAGCAAAACAGAAAAAGAAACAAATACATTTTTGTCTATCAATCGACTTTTCAAAACTTGACTTTGAAGCTCCTGTGAGAGGCTTTGGGGTTGAATCAATTTTGGCACCACTTTGTGGACAATCCAGTAGTTATTATCTCTTACCTGGACTCTTGTACATGCATTGATAAAATCTCATCCTGTTTTCTTTAATGTTTAAATGTTTTAGTTGTTGCAGCTGTAGAAAATGCAAAATAAGGTTGTTTCTGCAGCGTTTTGTTAATCCTTGTTTTAGGACCATCAAACATAAGGATTGACTGCTTTGAAAATAATAGATTTCCCTGCGTTTTCATTCGACATGATCTCAGAAATTTGCACATATTCATGTTCAGATCTTGTAAAGATATATTTTCTCTACCCTAACCCTAACCATGAATCTGGGGGAACCTCTACAGTCTGCTCTGCAAACCTGCATTCACCTGAAGTTCCATCCCCTGCCTCCTCGGTGCTTCCCTCTGAATGCAGAGTGCTCTGAGCGTCCTGAGGCTGTCTGCTGTTTCCATCCAGCAGCCGGCAGTGTTTCGGTCAGGGCCTGAGAGCCTGGACACAACCTGTCACGCCATTAAGCATCTGTGCACTCTGGGAGCTCATGCCAGGCCTGAACCTGTTGCTTGATGGATGATGCAGCGACTGTAAACAACTCAACATCACTGCTGAGGCCCCCGTCTATTTCCTCTGTTTCCTGCCGTGTGTCACTGAATAAAAAGAGGATTTCAATAAGCAGAAAATGACACTCTGTTTCATTATCACGGAGACTGGCTGTTGTACAAGCAAGTTTATTTCCTCTTGTATCTCTCTACCATCTGCAGTTAAGCCTGGCTGAGCTCTTTGTTCACAAATAAATGTGGTTAAAGCTGTTTTATTCTTGTCTTACAATCTGAACTGATGTCCTTATGTCTTTTTCTGACACATCCTGATGGCAAACACACGCCAGTGTAATTTACTGATTTACAAACTAAATCAGGGGGGAGTTGATTGTTACCCATTCACAAAAAGTAACGAGTGATAGTAAGCCTGGAGGTTTACAGGTTGACTCTTCCTGCAGCTTTTATTTGTAAAAGAAAACCCAAAGATTTAGGAGAGTGAAATAAACCTTTTCTGCAGATGTAACTCTGCTTAAATTCTCCCAAGTAATTTCTGCTGTGGAAAAGGCTTAAAGCTCCAGTGAGGAACTTTCTGTTTGTGTTTATTTTGGTGCCCCCTGTGGACAAAGTGAGGATCTACTTCTGTTGTTTCTAGTGTCTCTGGGACAGTATGACAGACCAAAGAGTTTGGGGTCTTTAATATTGGTGTGCGCATTTGCTCACGCAGAGAATTGTATAATAGAGCTCTGGGGTGCATTTAGAGTAAGTTTCACAGGGTTTTCTTGGTATTATTGTTCAATCTGGAGGAGCCAGAGATCAACATGCAACAAGATAATTACCTCCAAGGCTTTAAAAAAAAATTCCACGTTCAAAGGAAACACTCATTTGCACCTTTTACACCTGGAAAACTGAAGTGCACATGCTTTACACAAAGAGGTTGTATGGCAACTCGCTGTGGTGCATTAAAAATTGTTACAAAGGCTCTAAATTTGTGCAAGACAAATTTGAACAGAAGTAATGTGAGAAAATAGTTGAATTCACCTGTTGTATTTACACACAAATATTAGTTGTCATTATCTGAATATTTTTTGGGTTATGCAAACTAGACTTTTTTAAACAAAACAAGTCTTATATTTTTTTAGGGCCTGTTTCCACTTACCGCTTTTGTTTTCGCAGGAGCAACATCAAGTTTCTTCACAAAACCAATGCAGTCCAGCTGACTAAACAACCCCCAGCTGGTTTACACACTTCACTCTTAAATATAAAATACTTGAATATTTAGTGCATTACTGTGCTCTGCAACCTCACCTCTACTTAGAAAGCAGAGGACATTTAATTTCAGCTTTATGAACAGCAACGGCAGATCTAAGTATGGAGGAGAAATTAACCACACTGATTTTAATGATAATACTTTGACAAGATGGGGAAATAGAAAAGCCATTAATATAACTCCCATTGATGTAGACAAAAAAATTAAAAAAAATTAAAAACACTGTCAGTGGACACGGGCCCTGATTTGAAGCAAGTATCTGCAGCAGGTTACAAAGTCTGGTGCAAATCCCGAAACTAAAAGAGTTATTGGTCTATGAACTGCAATGTTATAAAACAAATAAACAGACTAATGTAAGAACTCTGAGAGTGAAACCATCTTGCATAGAGCATATGACGAAATAGAAAAATAACATTATGCAAACCTGGCATTGACCTATTGCAAACCACCCAGTCTGAATCAGAGTGTGCAAAGCTTAACTAACTTCCACAGAGTGTTTGTTCCAGGACATGTTTTGAAAAGAAGGCCTCATACCTGCACATAGTATAGATATAGATGGTAAGGTGACATTTAGTGAGACTCTGGTGTCCATCAGTGAGTCCTGATTAGTCTATAATGATGAAAACAATATCACAGTCAGGTTGGAGATGTCAGACTGAGCAGCCTCCTGTGTTCGCTGACAGGCTCAGAGGTCTGATTGAGGACGCTCTCTGCAGGTGAACGCTCTTGTTAGCACCATCTATGAGACTTCACACACATGCTGCGGCTGAGAAGTGTGTCCTCAGCACCTGCCCTGACTGTGTCTCTGATCACCAGTGTGCCAGCGCCCTCTACAGGTCACTTAGAGGGATAACTGAAACACTAAGGGATTTTTCTTTTTGGCTGATAAAGTGAAAATGTAGCCAAAACCCCACACATTTAGGCGATATTTCAAATATATTTCATAATTTCTCGTGCTCTGCATGCAGGGCATCCACCTGCATGGTCCTTTTTGGCTCGAGTGTTACAAGCGCAGCCTTGCCAACCGGTCCTCTAATCCACAGGGTGAATAAAAATGGATTTGGCTGGAACAGGCGCTCAGTAAGCTGACTTAAACCATCAGGCATGATAGTCCACAACACAGATTCTCATGTGCATCATCTCATGTTTTTCACAGATCATACTTTATCTACCTTGTAGGTCTTCAACACATTTTTTTTTATTGTTGAACAAATGAGATTAAGAGAGAAGCTTTTAAATTGCTGATTTGTCATTTGCACAGATTGAAAAACCTTTTAGCTACATGACTCTGTAACCTCTTGATAATGATTTGAAAAGCAGCATTTATGCACATGTTTGTGCAGGCTGGAGGCTGTCAGGGTGAGCGAGTGTTTCCTGGCACGGCGTCCTCCCCTTCCTCCGTCTCCAGAGGCCTCGGGCAACAGACGGGTCACAGCGAAGCCACATTTTAAATCCGGTGTGCAGATGGACACCAGTAGTGGTTCTAAATCCTGTGCTGGGCAGCAGATAGAGTAGAGATAGACCAATGCATCAGTTACTGGGGTTTTATGTGAACTGTAAATGTTAGTCACTTTGAGTATAGTATTTTTATCTTTGATAAACAGTAAGACACTCTGTATTTGAAAAACGCCTCAAAATGTTTACAGGCGCCATTATAGAGACAGAGTCACTGCTATTCACTTCACCAGTAAGTGGCTGCAGCATTATGCACCAAGATGAAGAACATGGGACATCTCTGTAAATTGTACTTAACACTAGAAGGACCACAGAGCAGCCATTTGGCTTTACCCCCCTCAAGGTCCACGGGGCAGCCGATTGGCTGGAAGGATTTTAGCTAATATCCTAAATCACCTGTGAGCACTCATTTTGTTATGCAAACGAGGTGATCGTTGGTGCACCACAGGAGGGGACTGGACTAAGTGGTGTATGCAGTGGGAAGGGACAACAGAAAGAAAGGGATCAACACACATGGGTTGTTTACTTTGTTGCTGAAATTTATTGATTAAAAATAAACAAAATTTAAACAACTGTATAGAATAAGAACAAGAATCAGAATCACAAGGGGTTTTATTGCTATTGTCAATGAACAGGTTTCACAGACTAGGAATTTTTTACGGCGTGATGGTGCAACATTAAACAGAGTATAATATGTAAAATACAAGAATAAAAAATAAGAGCATGCAGGACATATATAAAGAATAAAAGTATGAAAGGCTATGTACAATGCTAGGATTTTTTACGGCGTGATGGTGCAACATTAAACGGAGAATAATATGTAAAATACAAGAATAGAAAATAACAAGAGCATGCAGGACATATATAAAGTATAAAAAGGTTGGTGATGGACTTCAGGTGAATATGCATGCATCATCAGGATACAGTGTTAGACTCTCACTCACAATCCTGGCACTGCCATGGTATCTCCCTTCTGCATTTCCCACATGTGTATCTGTAGCAGTCAACACATCGCACAGTGGCATGATTGTTCCTACACTGATTTTTAACCTGGCACATGGCTCTTTTCCCAGGGCTAGGTGTGGAAGGTTGTTGCCGAAGCAATTCTTCCTTTCATGCCTTCTTCGCAGTCACATGAGAGTTAGCCAACTCTCTTGCAAGCTCCACCAGGAAGTCCACCCGTCTCTCCTTCCTCCCGGTGCATGCTTGATACAGCACATGTGCATCCAATGCTGCCGTATCAATCATGTTATAGAACACAGCGACTGGCCAGCGCCATGTTCCTGTGCGGACAGTGTACTCCCGCACCATCTGGTCCATCACATCCACGCTGCACTTTGTAGCATTGTAAAGTTCATTGCAGTCCCTCTGTCTAAATGTGGAATTTCCTGGCGAATCTTGTTGACTGTGCCTAGGATGGTGGTTTTCCGCCTAAGCAGTTGTTGCGCAAGTGACAGTGATGTAAAGAAATTGTCCGTGGTAACATTTCTGCCCTTGTCCAGGAATGGTTCCATCAGCCTCATGACTACATTCTCGGACAGTCTCTCCCCACTGGGACGACTGGGGTCCTTGCCAAGATATGGGAGGACATTGCAGATGTACTTGGATTTCAAGTCACAAGCCACCCAAAACTTGATCCCAAACTTGTCAGGTTTCGTTGCAATGTACTGCAGGAAACAGCAGCGAGTCTTTGAGGGGAAAAGCTGTTCGTCAATGGTGATGTGTCGACCAGGGTTGTAGGATGTGATGCAGTTGGTGACAAATGACGACCACACAGCAGAAATTGCAGCAAACTTGTCAGTCTTTGTGCGCTCACTGCGGGTGTCCCTGTCATCAAAGCGTAGGTGTCGCATGATGTCTTTGAAGCGATTTCGGGGCATGGTTGCCATGATCTGGGGGTTTCCCAGGTTTGCTCACCAGCAAACCAGAAAATGTGATAAATTGTCAATCAAATAGTGATCCTGTGAATGGGACTGGTTGCATTCACCTGAGTCGTTATGGTCATTCTCACATTCATACTCTCAACAGCTTCACCAGAGTATAAAAAATGTAGTGTCATATGCAAACAGTATGCAATTTAACAATTTAGATACATTTACAATGTCATTAATATAAAGTACAAACAGTTTTTGTCCGTGGACCGACCGCTGGGGCATCTGCTGAGGTGCAGGAACATCAGGAGAAGTAGAACCAAACAAAACAAACAGAGGCCCAAACTGTCTGTGCAGTGGCTATGGCTGAAGCAGTTTCTGTCTACAGTTGTTCTCAGGTTGGAAACTCCCCTCCCCCTCCCCACTCACTCTCCCCACAACACAAGTTTCCTTGAAATAACTTAGAATATCCCGTCCTGTGGTGCACCAGCGATAGCCTCGTTTGCATAACAAACTGAGTGTTCAGAGGTGATTTAGTACTAGCTAAAAGCCCTCCAAGCCATTTGGCTGCCCTCTGGTCTTTATAGGTAGAACAGCAAAAAGCCGGTCCTTCTAGTGTTGAGGTTGGAGCTAGGGTTAGGGTTAGGTGTGGGGTTGGAGCTAGGGTTAGGGTTAGGGTTAGTGTTGGAGTTAGGGTTAGTGTTGGAGCTAGGGTTAGGGTTGGGCTTGGAGCTAGGATTTTTCTGAGTGCAATGAACCAACTCCCGAGTCTCTAGGAGGTTCCTAAAAAAATTTGATTTTTTCCCATAGGAATGCATGGGTTAGGGTTAGGGTTAGGGTTGGAGCTAGGGTTAGGGTTAGGGTTAGGGTTGGAGTTAGGGTTAGTGTTGGAGCTAGGGTTAGGGTTGGGCTTGGAGCTAGGATTTTTCTGAGTGCAATGAACCAACTCCCGAGTCTCTAGGACGTTCCAAAAAATTTTTTTGATTTTTTCCCATAGGAATGCATGGGTTAGGGTTAGGGTTAGGGTTGGAGCTAGGGTTAGGGTTAGGGTTAGGGTTGGAGTTAGGGTTAGTGTTGGAGCTAGGGATAGGGTTGGGCTTGGAGCTAGGATTTTTCTGAGTGCACTGAACCAACTCCCGAGTCTCTAGGACATTCCTAAAAAAATTTGATTTTTTCCCATAGGAATGCATGGGTTAGGTTTATGGTTAGGGTTAGGGTTGGAGCTAGGGTTAGGGTTAGGGTTAGGGTTGGAGTTAGGGTTAGTGTTGGAGCTAGGGTTAGGGTTGGGCTTGGAGCTAGGATTTTTCTGAGTGCAATGAACCAACTCCCGAGTCTCTAGGACGTTCCTAAAAAAATTTGATTTTTTCCCATAGGAATGCATGGGTTAGGGTTAGGGTTAGGGTTGGAGCTAGGGTTAGGGTTAGGGTTAGGGTTGGAGTTAGGGTTAGTGTTGGAGCTAGGGTTAGGGTTGGGCTTGGAGCTAGGATTTTTCTGAGTGCACTGAACCAACTCCCGAGTCTCTAGGACATTCCTAAAAAAATTTGATTTTTTTCCCATAGGAATGCATGGGTTAGGGTTATGGTTAGGGTTAGGGTTGGAGCTAGGGTTAGGGTTAGGGTTAGGGTTGGAGTTAGGGTTAGTGTTGGAGCTAGGGTTAGGGTTGGGCTTGGAGCTAGGATTTTTCTGAGTGCAATGAACCAACTCCCGAGTCTCTAGGACGTTCCTAAAAAAATTTGATTTTTTCCCATAGGAATGCATGGGTTAGGGTTAGGGTTAGGGTTGGAGCTAGGGTTAGGGTTAGGGTTAGGGTTGGAGTTAAGGTTAGTGTTGGAGCTAGGGTTAGGGTTGGGCTTGGAGCTAGGATTTTTCTGAGTGCAATGAACCAACTCCCGAGTCTCTAGGACGTTCCTAAAAAAATTTGATTTTTTCCCATAGGAATGCATGGGTTAGGGTTATGGTTAGGGTTAGGGTTGGAGCTAGGGTTAGGGTTAGGGTTAGGGTTGGAGTTAGGGTTAGTGTTGGAGCTAGGGTTAGGGTTGGACTTGGAGCTAGGACTTTTCTGAGTGCAATGAACCAACTCCCGAGTCTCTAGGACATTCCTAAAAAAATTTGATTTTTTTCCCATAGGAATGCATGGGTTAGGGTTAGGGTTAGGGTTGGAGCTAGGGTTAGGGTTAGGGTTAGGGTTGGAGTTAGGGTTAGTGTTGGAGCTAGGGTTAGGGTTGGGCTTGGAGCTAGGATTTTTCTGAGTGCAATGAACCAACTCCCGAGTCTCTAGGACGTTCCTAAAAAAATTTGATTTTTTCCCATAGGAATGCATGGGTTAGGGTTAGGGTTAGGGTTGGAGCTAGGGTTAGGGTTAGGGTTGGAGTTAGGGTTAGTGTTGGAGCTAGGGTTAGGGTTGGACTTGGAGCTAGGATTTTTCTGAGTGCACTGAACCAACTCCCGAGTCTCTAGGACATTCCTAAAAAAATTTGATTTTTTCCCATAGGAATGCATGGGTTAGGGTTAGGGTTAGGGTTGGAGCTAGGATTAGGGTTAGGGTTAGGGTTGGAGTTAGGGTTAGTGTTGGAGCTAGGGTTAGGGTTGGGCTTGGAGCTAGGATTTTTCTGAGTGCACTGAACCAACTCCTGAGTCTCTAGGACATTCCTAAAAAAAAATTGATTTTTTTCCCATAGGAATGCTTGGGTTAGGGTTATGGTTAGGGTTAGGGTTGGAGCTAGGGTTAGGGTTAGGGTTAGGGTTGGAGTTAGGGTTAGTGTTGGATCTAGGGTTAGGGTTGGGCTTGGAGCTAGGATTTTTCTGAGTGCACTGAACCAACTCCCGAGTCTCTAGGACATTCCTAAAAAAATTTGATATTTTCCCATAGGAATGCATGGGTTAGGTTTATGGTTAGGGTTAGGGTTAGAGCTAGGGTTAGGGTTAGGGTTAGGGTTGGAGTTAGGGTTAGTGTTGGAGCTAGGGTTAGGGTTGGGCTTGGAGCTAGGATTTTTCTGAGTGCAATGAACCAACTCCCGAGTCTCTAGGACGTTCCTAAAAAAATTTGATTTTTTCCCATAGGAATGCATGGGTTAGGGTTAGGGTTAGGGTTGGAGCTAGGGTTAGGGTTAGGGTTAGGGTTGGAGTTAGGGTTAGTGTTGGAGCTAGGGTTAGGGTTGGGCTTGGAGCTAGGGTTTTTCTGAGTGCACTGAACCAACTCCCGAGTCTCTAGGACATTCCTAAAAAAATTTGATTTTTTCCCATAGGAATGCATGGGTTAGGGTTATGGTTAGGGTTAGGGTTGGAGCTAGGGTTAGGGTTGGAGTTAGGGTTAGTGTTGGAGCTAGGGTTAGGGTTGGGCTTGGAGCTAGGATTTTTCTGAGTGCAATGAACCAACTCCGGAGTCTCTAGGACGTTCCTAAAAAAATTTGATTTTTTCCCATAGGAATGCATGGGTTAGGGTTAGGGTTAGGGTTGGAGCTAGGGTTAGGGTTAGGGTTAGGGTTGGAGTTAGGGTTAGTGTTGGAGCTAGGGTTAGGGTTGGGCTTGGAGCTAGGATTTTTCTGAGTGCACTGAACCAACTCCCGAGTCTCTAGGACATTCCTAAAAAAATTTGATTTTTTCCCATAGGAATGCATGGGTTAGGGTTAGGGTTAGGGTTGGAGCTAGGGTTAGGGTTAGGGTTAGGGTTGGAGTTAGGGTTAGTGTTGGAGCTAGGGTTAGGGTTGGGCTTGGAGCTAGGATTTTTCTGAGTGCACTGAACCAACTCCCGAGTCTCTAGGACATTCCTAAAACAATTTGATTTTTTCCCATAGGAATGCATGGGTTAGGTTTATGGTTAGGGTTAGGGTTGGAGCTAGGGTTAGGGTTAGGGTTAGGGTTGGAGTTAGGGTTAGTGTTGGAGCTAGGGTTAGGGTTGGGCTTGGAGCTAGGATTTTTCTGAGTGCAATGAACCAACTCCCGAGTCTCTAGGACGTTCCTAAAAAAATTTGATTTTTTCCCATAGGAATGCATGGGTTAGGGTTAGGGTTAGGGTTGGAGCTAGGGTTAGGGTTAGGGTTAGGGTTGGAGTTAGGGTTAGTGTTGGAGCTAGGGTTAGGGTTGGGCTTGGAGCTAGGATTTTTCTGAGTGCACTGAACCAACTCCCGAGTCTCTAGGACATTCCTAAAAAAATTTGGTTTTTTTCCCATAGGAATGCATGGGTTAGGGTTATGGTTAGGGTTAGGGTTGGAGCTAGGGTTAGGGTTAGGGTTAGGGTTGGAGTTAGGGTTAGTGTTGGAGCTAGGGTTAGGGTTGGGCTTGGAGCTAGGATTTTTCTGAGTGCAATGAACCAACTCCCGAGTCTCTAGGACGTTCCTAAAAAAATTTGATTTTTTCCCATAGGAATGCATGGGTTAGGGTTAGGGTTAGGGTTGGAGCTAGGGTTAGGGTTAGGGTTAGGGTTGGAGTTAGGGTTAGTGTTGGAGCTAGGGTTAGGGTTGGGCTTGGAGCTAGGATTTTTCTGAGTGCAATGAACCAACTCCCGAGTCTCTAGGACGTTCCTAAAAAAATTTGATTTTTTCCCATAGGAATGCATGGGTTAGGGTTATGGTTAGGGTTAGGGTTGGAGCTAGGGTTAGGGTTAGGGTTAGGGTTGGAGTTAGGGTTAGTGTTGGAGCTAGGGTTAGGGTTGGACTTGGAGCTAGGACTTTTCTGAGTGCAATGAACCAACTCCCGAGTCTCTAGGACGTTCCTAAAAAAATTTGATTTTTTCCCATAGGAATGCATGGGTTAGGGTTAGGGTTAGGGTTGGAGCTAGGGTTAGGGTTAGGGTTAGGGTTGGAGTTAGGGTTAGTGTTGGAGCTAGGGTTAGGGTTGGGCTTGGAGCTAGGATTTTTCTGAGTGCACTGAACCACCTCTCGAGTCTCTAGGACATTCCTAAAAAAATTTGATTTTTTCCCATAGGAATGCATGGGTTAGGGTTATGGTTAGGGTTAGGGTTGGAGCTAGGGTTAGGGTTAGGGTTAGGGTTGGAGTTAGGGTTAGTGTTGGAGCTAGGGTTAGGGTTGGGCTTGGAGCTAGGATTTTTCTGAGTGCAATGAACCAACTCCCGAGTCTCTAGGACATTCCTAAAAAATTTGATTTTTTCCCATAGGAATGCATGGGTTAGGGTTAGGGTTAGGGTTGGAGCTAGGGTTAGGGTTAGGGTTAGGGTTGGAGTTAGGGTTAGTGTTGGAGCTAGGGTTAGGGTTGGGATTGGAGCTAGGATTTTTCTGAGTGCAATGAACCAACTCCCGAGTCTCTAGGACGTTCCTAAAAAAATTTGATTTTTTCCCATAGGAATGCATGGGTTAGGGTTAGGGTTAGGGTTGGAGCTAGGGTTAGGGTTAGGGTTGGAGTTAGGGTTAGTGTTGGAGCTAGGGTTAGGGTTGGACTTGGAGCTAGGATTTTTCTGAGTGCACTGAACCAACTCCCGAGTCTCTAGGACATTCCTAAAAAAATTTGATTTTTTCCCATAGGAATGCATGGGTTAGGGTTAGGGTTAGGGTTGGAGCTAGGGTTAGGGTTAGGGTTAGGGTTGGAGTTAGGGTTAGTGTTGGAGCTAGGGTTAGGGTTGGGCTTGGAGCTAGGATTTTTCTGAGTGCACTGAACCAACTCCTGAGTCTCTAGGACATTCCTAAAAAAAATTGATTTTTTTCCCATAGGAATGCATGGGTTAGGGTTATGGTTAGGGTTACGGTTGGAGCTAGGGTTAGGGTTAGGGTTAGGGTTGGAGTTAGGGTTAGTGTTGGATCTAGGGTTAGGGTTGGGCTTGGAGCTAGGATTTTTCTGAGTGCACTGAACCAACTCCCGAGTCTCTAGGACATTCCTAAAAAAATTTGATTTTTTCCCATAGGAATGCATGGGTTAGGTTTATGGTTAGGGTTAGGGTTAGAGCTAGGGTTAGGGTTAGGGTTAGGGTTGGAGTTAGGGTTAGTGTTGGAGCTAGGGTTAGGGTTGGGCTTGGAGCTAGGATTTTTCTGAGTGCAATGAACCAACTCCCGAGTCTCTAGGACGTTCCTAAAAAAATTTGATTTTTTCCCATAGGAATGCATGGGTTAGGGTTAGGGTTAGGGTTGGAGCTAGGGTTAGGGTTAGGGTTAGGGTTGGAGTTAGGGTTAGTGTTGGAGCTAGGGTTAGGGTTGGGCTTGGAGCTAGGGTTTTTCTGAGTGCACTGAACCAACTCCCGAGTCTCTAGGACATTCCTAAAAAAATTTGATTTTTTCCCATAGGAATGCATGGGTTAGGGTTATGGTTAGGGTTAGGGTTGGAGCTAGGGTTAGGGTTAGGGTTAGGGTTGGAGTTAGGGTTAGTGTTGGAGCTAGGGTTAGGGTTGGGCTTGGAGCTAGGATTTTTCTGAGTGCAATGAACCAACTCCGGAGTCTCTAGGACGTTCCTAAAAAAATTTGATTTTTTCCCATAGGAATGCATGGGTTAGGGTTAGGGTTAGGGTTGGAGCTAGGGTTAGGGTTAGGGTTAGGGTTGGAGTTAGGGTTAGTGTTGGAGCTAGGGTTAGGGTTGGGCTTGGAGCTAGGATTTTTGTGAGTGCAATGAACCAACTCCCGAGTCTCTAGGACGTTCCTAAAAAAATTTGATTTTTTTCCCATAGGAATGCATGGGTTAGGGTTAGGGTTAGGGTTGGAGCTAGGGTTAGGGTTGGAGTTAGGGTTAGTGTTGGAGCTAGGGTTAGGGTTGGGCTTGGAGCTAGGATTTTTCTGAGTGCACTGAACCAACTCCCGAGTCTCTAGGACATTCCTAAAAAAAATTGATTTTTTCCCATAGGAATGCATGGGTTAGGGTTAGGGTTAGGGTTGGAGCTAGGGTTAGGGTTAGGGTTAGGGTTGGAGTTAGGGTTAGTGTTGGAGCTAGGGTTAGGGTTGGGCTTGGAGCTAGGATTTTTCTGAGTGCACTGAACCAACTCCCGAGTCTCTAGGACATTCCTAAAAAAATTTGATTTTTTCCCATAGGAATGCATGGGTTAGGGTTATGGTTAGGGTTAGGGTTGGAGCTAGGGTTAGGGTTAGGGTTAGGGTTGGAGTTAGGGTTAGTGTTGGAGCTAGGGTTAGGGTTGGGCTTGGAGCTAGGATTTGTCTGAGTGCACTGAACCAACTCCCGAGTCTCTAGGACATTCCTAAAAAAATTTGATTTTTTCCCATAGGAATGCATGGGTTAGGGTTATAGTTAGGGTTAGGGTTGGAGCTAGGGTTAGGGTTATGGGTTAGGGTTGGAGTTAGGGTTAGTGTTGGAGCTAGGGTTAGGGTTGGGCTTGGAGCTAGGATTTTTCTGAGTGCAATGAACCAACTCCCGAGTCTCTAGGACGTTCCTAAAAAAATTTGATTTTTTCCCATAGGAATGCATGGGTTAGGGTTAGGGTTAGGGTTGGAGCTAGGGTTAGGGTTAGGGTTAGGGTTGGAGTTAGGGTTAGTGTTGGAGCTAGGGTTAGGGTTGGGCTTGGAGCTAGGATTTTTCTGAGTGCACTGAACCACCTCCCGAGTCTCTAGGACATTCCTAAAAACATTTGATTTTTTCCCATAGGAATGCATGGGTTAGGGTTATGGTTAGGGTTAGGGTTGGAGCTAGGGTTAGGGTTAGGGTTAGGGTTGGAGTTAGGGTTAGTGTTGGAGCTAGGGTTAGGGTTGGGCTTGGAGCTAGGATTTTTCTGAGTGCAATGAACCAACTCCCGAGTCTCTAGGACATTCCTAAAAAAATTTGATTTTTTTCCCATAGGAATGCATGGGTTAGGGTTAGGGTTAGGGTTGGAGCTAGGGTTAGGGTTAGGGTTAGGGTTGGAGTTAGGGTTAGTGTTGGAGCTAGGGTTAGGGTTGGGCTTGGAGCTAGGATTTTTCTGAGTGCAATGAACCAACTCCCGAGTCTCTAGGACGTTCCTAAAAAAATTTGATTTTTTCCCATAGGAATGCATGGGTTAGGGTTAGGGTTCGGGTTGGAGCTAGGGTTAGGGTTAGGGTTAGGGTTGGAGTTAGGGTTAGTGTTGGAGCTAGGGTTAGGGTTGGGCTTGGAGCTAGGATTTTTCTGAGTGCACTGAACCAACTCCCGAGTCTCTAGGACATTCCTAAAAAAATTTGATTTTTTCCCATAGGAATGCATGGGTTAGGGTTAGGGTTAGGGTTGGAGCTAGGGTTAGGGTTAGGGTTAGGGTTGGAGTTAGGGTTAGTGTTGGAGCTAGGGTTAGGGTTGGGCTTGGAGCTAGGATTTTTCTGAGTGCACTGAACCAACTCCTGAGTCTCTAGGACATTCCTAAAAAAAATTGATTTTTTTCCCATAGGAATGCATGGGTTAGGGTTATGGTTAGGGTTAGGGTTGGAGCTAGGGTTAGGGTTAGGGTTAGGGTTGGAGTTAGGGTTAGTGTTGGATCTAGGGTTAGGGTTGGGCTTGGAGCTAGGATTTTTCTGAGTGCACTGAACCAACTCCCGAGTCTCTAGGACATTCCTAAAAAAATTTGATTTTTTCCCATAGGAATGCATGGGTTAGGTTTATGGTTAGGGTTAGGGTTAGGGTTAGAGCTAGGGTTAGGGTTAGGGTTAGGGTTGGAGTTAGGGTTAGTGTTGGAGCTAGGGTTAGGGTTGGGCTTGGAGCTAGGATTTTTCTGAGTGCACTGAACCAACTCCCGAGTCTCTAGGACGTTCCTAAAAAAATTTGATTTTTTCCCATAGGAATGCATGGGTTAGGGTTAGGGTTAGGGTTGGAGCTAGGGTTAGGGTTAGGGTTAGGGTTGGAGTTAGGGTTAGTGTTGGAGCTAGGGTTAGGGTTGGGCTTGGAGCTAGGATTTTTGTGAGTGCAATGAACCAACTCCCGAGTCTCTAGGACGTTCCTAAAAAAATTTGATTTTTTCCCATAGGAATGCATGGGTTAGGGTTAGGGTTAGGGTTGGAGCTAGGGTTAGGGTTAGGGTTAGGGTTGGAGTTAGGGTTAGTGTTGGAGCTAGGGTTAGGGTTGGGCTTGGAGCTAGGATTTTTCTGAGTGCACTGAACCAACTCCCGAGTCTCTAGGACATTCCTAAAAAAAATTGATTTTTTCCCATAGGAATGCATGGGTTAGGGTTATGGTTAGGGTTAGGGTTGGAGCTAGGGTTAGGGTTAGGGTTAGGGTTGGAGTTAGGGTTAGTGTTGGAGCTAGGGTTAGGGTTGGGCTTGGAGCTAGGATTTGTCTGAGTGCACTGAACCAACTCCCGAGTCTCTAGGACATTCCTAAAAAAATTTGATTTTTTCCCATAGGAATGCATGGGTTAGGGTTATAGTTAGGGTTAGGGTTGGAGCTAGGGTTAGGGTTATGGTTAGGGTTGGAGTTAGGGTTAGTGTTGGAGCTAGGGTTAGGGTTGGGCTTGGAGCTAGGATTTTTCTGAGTGCAATGAACCAACTCCGGAGTCTCTAGGACGTTCCTAAAAAAATTTGATTTTTTCCCATAGGAATGCATGGGTTAGGGTTAGGGTTAGGGTTGGAGCTAGGGTTAGGGTTAGGGTTAGGGTTGGAGTTAGGGTTAGTGTTGGAGCTAGGGTTAGGGTTGGGCTTGGAGCTAGGATTTTTCTGAGTGCATTGAACCACCTCCCGAGTCTCTAGGACATTCCTAAAAAAATTTGATTTTTTCCCATAGGAATGCATGGGTTAGGGTTATGGTTAGGGTTAGGGTTGGAGCTAGGGTTAGGGTTAGGGTTAGGGTTGGAGTTAGGGTTAGTGTTGGAGCTAGGGTTAGGGTTGGGCTTGGAGCTAGGATTTTTCTGAGTGCAATGAACCAACTCCCGAGTCTCTAGGACATTCCTAAAAAAATTTGATTTTTTTCCCATAGGAATGCATGGGTTAGGGTTAGGGTTAGGGTTAGGGTTAGAGCTAGGGTTAGGGTTAGGGTTAGGGTTGGAGTTAGGGTTAGTGTTGGAGCTAGGGTTAGGGTTGGGCTTGGAGCTAGGATTTTTCTGAGTGCAATGAACCAACTCCGGAGTCTCTAGGACGTTCCTAAAAAAATTTGATTTTTTCCCATAGGAATGCATGGGTTAGGGTTAGGGTTAGGGTTGGAGCTAGGGTTAGGGTTAGGGTTAGGGTTGGAGTTAGGGTTAGTGTTGGAGCTAGGGTTAGGGTTGGGCTTGGAGCTAGGATTTTTCTGAGTGCACTGAACCAACTCCCGAGTCTCTAGGACATTCCTAAAAAAATTTGATTTTTTCCCATAGGAATGCATGGGTTAGGGTTAGGGTTAGGGTTGGAGCTAGGGTTAGGGTTAGGGTTAGGGTTGGAGTTAGGGTTAGTGTTGGAGCTAGGGTTAGGGTTGGGCTTGGAGCTAGGATTTTTCTGAGTGCACTGAACCAACTCCTGAGTCTCTAGGACATTCCTAAAAAAAATTGATTTTTTTCCCATAGGAATGCATGGGTTAGGGTTATGGTTAGGGTTAGGGTTGGAGCTAGGGTTAGGGTTAGGGTTAGGGTTGGAGTTAGGGTTAGTGTTGGATCTAGGGTTAGGGTTGGGCTTGGAGCTAGGATTTTTCTGAGTGCACTGAACCAACTCCCGAGTCTCTAGGACATTCCTAAAAAAATTTGATTTTTTCCCATAGGAATGCATGGGTTAGGTTTATGGTTAGGGTTAGGGTTAGAGCTAGGGTTAGGGTTAGGGTTAGGGTTGGAGTTAGGGTTAGTGTTGGAGCTAGGGTTAGGGTTGGGCTTGGAGCTAGGATTTTTCTGAGTGCAATGAACCAACTCCCGAGTCTCTAGGACGTTCCTAAAAAAATTTGATTTTTTCCCATAGGAATGCATGGGTTAGGGTTAGGGTTAGGGTTGGAGCTAGGGTTAGGGTTAGGGTTAGGGTTGGAGTTAGGGTTAGTGTTGGAGCTAGGGTTAGGGTTGGGCTTGGAGCTAGGGTTTTTCTGAGTGCACTGAACCAACTCCCGAGTCTCTAGGACATTCCTAAAAAAATTTGATTTTTTCCCATAGGAATGCATGGGTTAGGGTTATGGTTAGGGTTAGGGTTGGAGCTAGGGTTAGGGTTAGGGTTAGGGTTGGAGTTAGGGTTAGTGTTGGAGCTAGGGTTAGGGTTGGGCTTGGAGCTAGGATTTTTCTGAGTGCAATGAACCAACTCCGGAGTCTCTAGGACGTTCCTAAAAAAATTTGATTTTTTCCCATAGGAATGCATGGGTTAGGGTTAGGGTTATGGTTGGAGCTAGGGTTAGGGTTAGGGTTAGGGTTGGAGTTAGGGTTAGTGTTGGAGCTAGGGTTAGGGTTGGGCTTGGAGCTAGGATTTTTGTGAGTGCAATGAACCAACTCCCGAGTCTCTAGAACGTTCCTAAAAAAATTTGATTTTTTTCCCATAGGAATGCATGGGTTAGGGTTAGGGTTAGGGTTGGAGCTAGGGTTAGGGTTAGGGTTAGGGTTGGAGTTAGGGTTAGTGTTGGAGCTAGGGTTAGGGTTGGGCTTGGAGCAAGGATTTTTCTGAGTGCACTGAACCAACTCCCGAGTCTCTAGGACATTCCTAAAAAAATTTGATTTTTTCCCATAGGAATGCATGGGTTAGGGTTATGGTTAGGGTTAGGGTTGGAGCTAGGGTTAGGGTTAGGGTTAGGGTTGGAGTTAGGGTTAGTGTTGGAGCTAGGGTTAGGGTTGGGCTTGGAGCTAGGATTTGTCTGAGTGCACTGAACCAACTCCCGAGTCTCTAGGACATTCCTAAAAAAATTTGATTTTTTCCCATAGGAATGCATGGGTTAGGGTTATAGTTAGGGTTAGGGTTGGAGCTAGGGTTAGGGTTATGGTTAGGGTTGGAGTTAGGGTTAGTGTTGGAGCTAGGGTTAGGGTTGGGCTTGGAGCTAGGATTTTTCTGAGTGCAATGAACCAACTCCGGAGTCTCTAGGACGTTCCTAAAAAAATTTGATTTTTTCCCATAGGAATGCATGGGTTAGGGTTATGGTTAGGGTTAGGGTTGGAGCTAGGGTTAGGGTTAGGGTTAGGGTTGGAGTTAGGGTTAGGGTTGCAGCTAGGGTTAGGGTTGGGCTTGGAGCTAGGATTTTTCTGAGTGCACTGAACCAACTCCCGAGTCTCTAGGACATTCCTAAAAAAATTTGATTTTTTCCCATAGGAATGCATGGGTTAGGTTTATGGTTAGGGTTAGGGTTGGAGCTAGGGTTAGGGTTAGGGTTAGGGTTGGAGTAAGGGTTAGTGTTGGAGCTAGGGTTAGGGTTGGGCTTGGAGCTAGGATTTTTCTGAGTGCACTGAACCAACTCCCGAGTCTCTAGGACATTCCTAAAAAAATTTGATTTTTTCCCATAGGAATGCATGGGTTAGGGTTATGGTTAGGGTTAGGGTTGGAGCTAGGGTTAGGGTTAGGGTTAGGGTTGGAGTTAGGGTTAGTGTTGGAGCTAGGGTTAGGGTTGGGCTTGGAGCTAGGATTTGTCTGAGTGCAATGAACCAACTCCCGAGTCTCTAGGACGTTCCTAAAAAAATTTGATTTTTTTCCCATAGGAATGCATGGGTTAGGGTTAGGGTTAGGGTTGGAGCTAGGGTTAGGGTTAGGGTTAGGGTTGGAGTTAGGGTTAGTGTTGGAGCTAGGGTTAGGGTTGGGCTTGGAGCTAGGATTTGTCTGAGTGCACTGAACCAACTCCCGAGTCTCTAGGACATTCCTAAAAAAATTTGATTTTTTCCCATAGGAATGCATGGGTCAGGGTTAGGGTTAGGGTTGGAGCTAGGGTTAGGGTTAGGGTTAGGGTTGGAGTTAGGGTTAGTGTTGGAGCTAGGGTTAGGGTTGGGCTTGGAGCTAGGATTTTTCTGAGTGCACTGAACCAACTCCCGAGTCTCTAGGACATTCCTAAAAAAATTTGATTTTTTCCCATAGGAATGCATGGGTTAGGGTTATGGTTAGGGTTAGGGTTGGAGCTAGGGTTAGGGTTAGGGTTAGGGTTGGAGTTAGGGTTAGTGTTGCAGCTAGGGTTAGGGTTGGGCTTGGAGCTAGGATTTTTCTGAGTGCACTGAACCAACTCCCGAGTCTCTAGGACATTCCTAAAAAAATTTGATTTTTTCCCATAGGAATGCATGGGTTAGGGTTAGGGTTAGGGTTGGAGCTAGGGTTAGGGTTAGGGTTAGGGTTGGAGTTAGGGTTAGTGTTGGAGCTAGGGTTAGGGTTGGGCTTGGAGCTAGGATTTTTCTGAGTGCAATGAACCAACTCCCGAGTCTCTAGGACGTTCCTAAAAAAATTTGATTTTTTCCCATAGGAATGCATGGGTTAGGGTTATGGTTAGGGTTAGGGTTGGAGCTAGGGTTAGGGTTAGGGTTAGGGTTGGAGTTAGGGTTAGTGTTGGAGCTAGGGTTAGGGTTGGACTTGGAGCTAGGACTTTTCTGAGTGCAATGAACCAACTCCTGAGTCTCTAGGACGTTCCTAAAAAAATTTGATTTTTTCCCATAGGAATGCATGGGTTAGGGTTAGGGTTAGGGTTGGAGCTAGGGTTAGGGTTGCAGCTAGGGTTAGGGTTGGGCTTGGAGCTAGGATTTTTCTGAGTGCACTGAACCAACTCCCGAGTCTCTAGGACATTCCTAAAAAAATTTGATTTTTTCCCATAGGAATGCATGGGTTAGGGTTAGGGTTAGGGTTGGAGCTAGGGTTAGGGTTAGGGTTAGGGTTGGAGTTAGGGTTAGTGTTGGAGCTAGGGTTAGGGTTGGGCTTGGAGCTAGGATTTTTCTGAGTGCAATGAACCAACTCCCGAGTCTCTAGGACGTTCCTAAAAAAATTTGATTTTTTCCCATAGGAATGCATGGGTTAGGGTTATGGTTAGGGTTAGGGTTGGAGCTAGGGTTAGGGTTAGGGTTAGGGTTGGAGTTAGGGTTAGTGTTGGAGCTAGGGTTAGGGTTGGACTTGGAGCTAGGACTTTTCTGAGTGCAATGAACCAACTCCCGAGTCTCTAGGACGTTCCTAAAAAAATTTGATTTTTTCCCATAGGAATGCATGGGTTAGGGTTAGGGTTAGGGTTGGAGCTAGGGTTAGGGTTAGGGTTAGGGTTGGAGTTAGGGTTAGTGTTGGAGCTAGGGTTAGGGTTGGGCTTGGAGCTAGGATTTTTCTGAGTGCACTGAACCAACTCCCGAGTCTCTAGGACATTCCTAAAAAAATTTGATTTTTTCCCATAGGAATGCATGGGTTAGGGTTAGGGTTAGGGTTGGAGCTAGGGTTAGGGTTAGGGTTAGGGTTGGAGTTAGGGTTAGTGTTGGAGCTAGGGTTAGGGTTGGGCTTGGAGCTAGGATTTTTCTGAGTGCAATGAACCAACTCCCGAGTCTCTAGGACGTTCCTAAAAAAATTTGATTTTTTCCCATAGGAATGCATGGGTTAGGGTTATGGTTAGGGTTAGGGTTGGAGCTAGGGTTAGGGTTAGGGTTAGGGTTGGAGTTAGGGTTAGTGTTGGAGCTAGGGTTAGGGTTGGACTTGGAGCTAGGACTTTTCTGAGTGCAATGAACCAACTCCCGAGTCTCTAGGACGTTCCTAAAAAAATTTGATTTTTTCCCATAGGAATGCATGGGTTAGGGTTAGGGTTAGGGTTGGAGCTAGGGTTAGGGTTAGGGTTAGGGTTGGAGTTAGGGTTAGTGTTGGAGCTAGGGTTAGGGTTGGGCTTGGAGCTAGGATTTTTCTGAGTGCACTGAACCAACTCCCGAGTCTCTAGGACATTCCTAAAAAAATTTGATTTTTTCCCATAGGAATGCATGGGTTAGGGTTAGGGTTAGGGTTGGAGCTAGGGTTAGGGTTAGGGTTAGGGTTGGAGTTAGGGTTAGTGTTGGAGCTAGGGTTAGGGTTGGGCTTGGAGCAAGGATTTTTCTGAGTGCACTGAACCAACTCCCGAGTCTCTAGGACATTCCTAAAAAAATTTGATTTTTTCCCATAGGAATGCATGGGTTAGGGTTATGGTTAGGGTTAGGGTTGGAGCTAGGGTTAGGGTTAGGGTTAGGGTTGGAGTTAGGGTTAGTGTTGGAGCTAGGGTTAGGGTTGGGCTTGGAGCTAGGATTTTTCTGAGTGCAATGAACCAACTCCCGAGTCTCTAGGACATTCCTAAAAAAATTTGATTTTTTTCCCATAGGAATGCATGGGTTAGGGTTAGGGTTAGGGTTAGGGTTAGAGCTAGGGTTAGGGTTAGGGTTAGGGTTGGAGTTAGGGTTAGTGTTGGAGCTAGGGTTAGGGTTGGGCTTGGAGCTAGGATTTTTCTGAGTGCAATGAACCAACACCCGAGTCTCTAGGACGTTCCTAAAAAAATTTGATTTTTTCCCATAGGAATGCATGGGTTAGGGTTAGGGTTAGGGTTGGAGCTAGGGTTAGGGTTAGGGTTAGGGTTGGAGTTAGGGTTAGTGTTGGAGCTAGGGTTAGGGTTGGGCTTGGAGCTAGGATTTTTCTGAGTGCACTGAACCAACTCCCAAGTCTCTAGGACATTCCTAAAAAAATTTGATTTTTTCCCATAGGAATGCATGGGTTAGGGTTAGGGTTAGGGTTGGAGCTAGGGTTAGGGTTAGGGTTAGGGTTGGAGTTAGGGTTAGTGTTGGAGCTAGGGTTAGGGTTGGGCTTGGAGCTAGGATTTTTCTGAGTGCACTGAACCAACTCCTGAGTCTCTAGGACATTCCTAAAAAAAATTGATTTTTTTCCCATAGGAATGCATGGGTTAGGGTTATGGTTAGGGTTAGGGTTGGAGCTAGGGTTAGGGTTAGGGTTAGGGTTGGAGTTAGGGTTAGTGTTGGATCTAGGGTTAGGGTTGGGCTTGGAGCTAGGATTTTTCTGAGTGCACTGAACCAACTCCCGAGTCTCTAGGACATTCCTAAAAAAATTTGATTTTTTCCCATAGGAATGCATGGGTTAGGTTTATGGTTAGGGTTAGGGTTAGAGCTAGGGTTAGGGTTAGGGTTAGGGTTGGAGTTAGGGTTAGTGTTGGAGCTAGGGTTAGGGTTGGGCTTGGAGCTAGGATTTTTCTGAGTGCAATGAACCAACTCCCGAGTCTCTAGGACGTTCCTAAAAAAATTTGATTTTTTCCCATAGGAATGCATGGGTTAGGGTTAGGGTTAGGGTTGGAGCTAGGGTTAGGGTTAGGGTTAGGGTTGGAGTTAGGGTTAGTGTTGGAGCTAGGGTTAGGGTTGGGCTTGGAGCTAGGGTTTTTCTGAGTGCACTGAACCAACTCCCGAGTCTCTAGGACATTCCTAAAAAAATTTGATTTTTTCCAATAGGAATGCATGGGTTAGGGTTATGGTTAGGGTTAGGGTTGGAGCTAGGGTTAGGGTTAGGGTTAGGGTTGGAGTTAGGGTTAGTGTTGGAGCTAGGGTTAGGGTTGGGCTTGGAGCTAGGATTTTTCTGAGTGCAATGAACCAACTCCGGAGTCTCTAGGACGTTCCTAAAAAAATTTGATTTTTTCCCATAGGAATGCATGGGTTAGGGTTAGGGTAATGGTTGGAGCTAGGGTTAGGGTTAGGGTTAGGGTTGGAGTTAGGGTTAGTGTTGGAGCTAGGGTTAGGGTTGGGCTTAGAGCTAGGATTTTTGTGAGTGCAATGAACCAACTCCCGAGTCTCTAGAACGTTCCTAAAAAAATTTGATTTTTTTCCCATAGGAATGCATGGGTTAGGGTTAGGGTTAGGGTTGGAGCTAGGGTTAGGGTTAGGGTTAGGGTTGGAGTTAGGGTTAGTGTTGGAGCTAGGGTTAGGGTTGGGCTTGGAGCTAGGATTTTTCTGAGTGCACTGAACCAACTCCCGAGTCTCTAGAACATTCCTAAAAAAAATTGATTTTTTCCCATAGGAATGCATGGGTTAGGGTTATGGTTAGGGTTAGGGTTGGAGCTAGGGTTAGGGTTAGGGTTAGGGTTGGAGTTAGGGTTAGTGTTGGAGCTAGGGTTAGGGTTGGGCTTGGAGCTAGGATTTGTCTGAGTGCACTGAACCAACTCCCGAGTCTCTAGGACATTCCTAAAAAAATTTGATTTTTTCCCATAGGAATGCATGGGTTAGGGTTATAGTTAGGGTTAGGGTTGGAGCTAGGGTTAGGGTTATGGTTAGGGTTGGAGTTAGGGTTAGTGTTGGAGCTAGGGTTAGGGTTGGGCTTGGAGCTAGGATTTTTCTGAGTGCAATGAACCAACTCCGGAGTCTCTAGGACGTTCCTAAAAAAATTTGATTTTTTCCCATAGGAATGCATGGGTTAGGGTTATGGTTAGGGTTAGGGTTGGAGCTAGGGTTAGGGTTAGGGTTAGGGTTGGAGTTAGGGTTAGGGTTGCAGCTAGGGTTAGGGTTGGGCTTGGAGCTAGGATTTTTCTGAGTGCACTGAACCAACTCCCGAGTCTCTAGGACATTCCTAAAAAAATTTGATTTTTTCCCATAGGAATGCATGGGTTAGGTTTATGGTTAGGGTTAGGGTTGGAGCTAGGGTTAGGGTTAGGGTTAGGGTTGGAGTAAGGGTTAGTGTTGGAGCTAGGGTTAGGGTTGGGCTTGGAGCTAGGATTTTTCTGAGTGCACTGAACCAACTCCCGAGTCTCTAGGACATTCCTAAAAAAAATTGATTTTTTCCCATAGGAATGCATGGGTTAGGGTTATGGTTAGGGTTAGGGTTGGAGCTAGGGTTAGGGTTAGGGTTAGGGTTGGAGTTAGGGTTAGTGTTGGAGCTAGGGTTAGGGTTGGGCTTGGAGCTAGGATTTGTCTGAGTGCAATGAACCAACTCCCGAGTCTCTAGGACGTTCCTAAAAAAATTTGATTTTTTTCCCATAGGAATGCATGGGTTAGGGTTAGGGTTAGGGTTGGAGCTAGGGTTAGGGTTAGGGTTAGGGTTGGAGTTAGGGTTAGTGTTGGAGCTAGGGTTAGGGTTGGGCTTGGAGCTAGGATTTGTCTGAGTGCACTGAACCAACTCCCGAGTCTCTAGGACATTCCTAAAAAAATGTGATTTTTTCCCATAGGAATGCATGGGTCAGGGTTAGGGTTAGGGTTGGAGCTAGGGTTAGGGTTAGGGTTAGGGTTGGAGTTAGGGTTAGTGTTGGAGCTAGGGTTAGGGTTGGGCTTGGAGCTAGGATTTTTCTGAGTGCACTGAACCAACTCCCGAGTCTCTAGGACATTCCTAAAAAAATTGATTTTTTCCCATAGGAATGCATGGGTTAGGGTTATGGGTTAGGGTTAGGGTTGGAGCTAGGGTTAGGGTTAGGGTTAGGGTTGGAGTTAGGGTTAGGGTTGGAGCTAGGGTTAGGGTTGGGCTTGGAGCTAGGATTTTTCTGAGTGCACTGAACCAACTCCCGAGTCTCTAGGACATTCCTAAAAAAATTTGATTTTTTCCCATAGGAATGCATGGGTTAGGGTTAGGGTTAGGGTTGGAGCTAGGGTTAGGGTTAGGGTTAGGGTTGGAGTTAGGGTTAGTGTTGGAGCTAGGGTTAGGGTTGGGCTTGGAGCTAGGATTTTTCTGAGTGCAATGAACCAACTCCCGAGTCTCTAGGACGTTCCTAAAAAAATTTGATTTTTTCCCATAGGAATGCATGGGTTAGGGTTATGGTTAGGGTTAGGGTTGGAGCTAGGGTTAGGGTTAGGGTTAGGGTTGGAGTTAGGGTTAGTGTTGGAGCTAGGGTTAGGGTTGGACTTGGAGCTAGGACTTTTCTGAGTGCAATGAACCAACTCCCGAGTCTCTAGGACGTTCCTAAAAAAATTTGATTTTTTCCCATAGGAATGCATGGGTTAGGGTTATGGTTAGGGTTAGGGTTGGAGCTAGGGTTAGGGTTAGGGTTAGGGTTGGAGTTAGGGTTAGTGTTGGAGCTAGGGTTAGGGTTGGGCTTGGAGCTAGGATTTTTCTGAGTGCACTGAACCAACTCCCGAGTCTCTAGGACATTCCTAAAAAAATTTGATTTTTTCCCATAGGAATGCATGGGTTAGGGTTAGGGTTAGGGTTGGAGCTAGGGTTAGGGTTAGGGTTAGGGTTGGAGTTAGGGTTAGTGTTGGAGCTAGGGTTAGGGTTGGGCTTGGAGCTAGGATTTTTCTGAGTGCACTGAACCAACTCCCGAGTCTCTAGAACATTCCTAAAAAAATTTGATTTTTTCCCATAGGAATGCATGGGTTAGGGTTATGGTTAGGGTTAGGGTTGGAGCTAGGGTTAGGGTTAGGGTTAGGGTTGGAGTTAGGGTTAGTGTTGGAGCTAGGGTTAGGGTTGGGCTTGGAGCTAGGATTTGTCTGAGTGCACTGAACCAACTCCCGAGTCTCTAGGACATTCCTAAAAAAATTTGATTTTTTCCCATAGGAATGCATGGGTTAGGGTTATAGTTAGGGTTAGGGTTGGAGCTAGGGTTAGGGTTATGGTTAGGGTTGGAGTTAGGGTTAGTGTTGGAGCTAGGGTTAGGGTTGGGCTTGGAGCTAGGATTTTTCTGAGTGCAATGAACCAACTCCGGAGTCTCTAGGACGTTCCTAAAAAAATTTGATTTTTTCCCATAGGAATGCATGGGTTAGGGTTATGGTTAGGGTTAGGGTTGGAGCTAGGGTTAGGGTTAGGGTTAGGGTTGGAGTTAGGGTTAGGGTTGCAGCTAGGGTTAGGGTTGGGCTTGGAGCTAGGATTTTTCTGAGTGCACTGAACCAACTCCCGAGTCTCTAGGACATTCCTAAAAAAATTTGATTTTTTCCCATAGGAATGCATGGGTTAGGTTTATGGTTAGGGTTAGGGTTGGAGCTAGGGTTAGGGTTAGGGTTAGGGTTGGAGTAAGGGTTAGTGTTGGAGCTAGGGTTAGGGTTGGGCTTGGAGCTAGGATTTTTCTGAGTGCACTGAACCAACTCCCGAGTCTCTAGGACATTCCTAAAAAAAATTGATTTTTTCCCATAGGAATGCATGGGTTAGGGTTATGGTTAGGGTTAGGGTTGGAGCTAGGGTTAGGGTTAGGGTTAGGGTTGGAGTTAGGGTTAGTGTTGGAGCTAGGGTTAGGGTTGGGCTTGGAGCTAGGATTTGTCTGAGTGCAATGAACCAACTCCCGAGTCTCTAGGACGTTCCTAAAAAAATTTGATTTTTTCCCATAGGAATGCATGGGTTAGGGTTAGGGTTAGGGTTGGAGCTAGGGTTAGGGTTAGGGTTAGGGTTGGAGTTAGGGTTAGTGTTGGAGCTAGGGTTAGGGTTGGGCTTGGAGCTAGGATTTGTCTGAGTGCACTGAACCAACTCCCGAGTCTCTAGGACATTCCTAAAAAAATGTGATTTTTTCCCATAGGAATGCATGGGTTAGGGTTAGGGTTAGGGTTGGAGCTAGGGTTAGGGTTAGGGTTAGGGTTGGAGTTAGGGTTAGTGTTGGAGCTAGGGTTAGGGTTGGGCTTGGAGCTAGGATTTTTCTGAGTGCACTGAACCAACTCCCGAGTCTCTAGGACATTCCTAAAAAAATTTGATTTTTTCCCATAGGAATGCATGGGTTAGGGTTATGGTTAGGGTTAGGGTTGGAGCTAGGGTTAGGGTTAGGGTTAGGGTTGGAGTTAGGGTTAGGGTTGCAGCTAGGGTTAGGGTTGGGCTTGGAGCTAGGATTTTTCTGAGTGCACTGAACCAACTCCCGAGTCTCTAGGACATTCCTAAAAAAATTTGATTTTTTCCCATAGGAATGCATGGGTTAGGGTTAGGGTTAGGGTTGGAGCTAGGGTTAGGGTTAGGGTTAGGGTTGGAGTTAGGGTTAGTGTTGGAGCTAGGGTTAGGGTTGGGCTTGGAGCTAGGATTTTTCTGAGTGCAATGAACCAACTCCCGAGTCTCTAGGACGTTCCTAAAAAAATTTGATTTTTTCCCATAGGAATGCATGGGTTAGGGTTATGGTTAGGGTTAGGGTTGGAGCTAGGGTTAGGGTTAGGGTTAGGGTTGGAGTTAGGGTTAGTGTTGGAGCTAGGGTTAGGGTTGGACTTGGAGCTAGGACTTTTCTGAGTGCAATGAACCAACTCCCGAGTCTCTAGGACGTTCCTAAAAAAATTTGATTTTTTCCCATAGGAATGCATGGGTTAGGGTTATGGTTAGGGTTAGGGTTGGAGCTAGGGTTAGGGTTAGGGTTAGGGTTGGAGTTAGGGTTAGTGTTGGAGCTAGGGTTAGGGTTGGGCTTGGAGCTAGGATTTTTCTGAGTGCACTGAACCAACTCCCGAGTCTCTAGGACATTCCTAAAAAAATTTGATTTTTTCCCATAGGAATGCATGGGTTAGGGTTAGGGTTAGGGTTGGAGCTAGGGTTAGGGTTAGGGTTAGGGTTGGAGTTAGGGTTAGTGTTGGAGCTAGGGTTAGGGTTGGGCTTGGAGCTAGGATTTTTCTGAGTGCACTGAACCAACTCCCGAGTCTCTAGGACATTCCTAAAAAAATTTGATTTTTTCCCATAGGAATGCATGGGTTAGGTTTATGGTTAGGGTTAGGGTTGGAGCTAGGGTTAGGGTTAGGGTTAGGGTTGGAGTTAGGGTTAGTGTTGGAGCTAGGGTTAGGGTTGGGCTTGGAGCTAGGATTTTTCTGAGTGCAATGAACCAACTCCCGAGTCTCTAGGACGTTCCTAAAAAAATTTGATTTTTTCCCATAGGAATGCATGGGTTAGGGTTAGGGTTAGGGTTGGAGCTAGGGTTAGGGTTAGGGTTAGGGTTGGAGTTAGGGTTAGTGTTGGAGCTAGGGTTAGGGTTGGGCTTGGAGCTAGGATTTTTGTGAGTGCAATGAACCAACTCCCGAGTCTCTAGGACGTTCCTAAAAAAATTTGATTTTTTTCCCATAGGAATGCATGGGTTAGGGTTAGGGTTAGGGTTGGAGCTAGGGTTAGGGTTAGGGTTGGAGTTAGGGTTAGTGTTGGAGCTAGGGTTAGGGTTGGGCTTGGAGCTAGGATTTTTCTGAGTGCACTGAACCAACTCCCGAGTCTCTAGGACATTCCTAAAAAAATTTGATTTTTTCCCATAGGAATGCATGGGTTAGGGTTAGGGTTAGGGTTGGAGCTAGGGTTAGGGTTAGGGTTAGGGTTGGAGTTAGGGTTAGTGTTGGAGCTAGGGTTAGGGTTGGGCTTGGAGCTAGGATTTTTCTGAGTGCACTGAACCAACTCCCGAGTCTCTAGGACATTCCTAAAAAAAATTTGATTTTTTCCCATAGGAATGCATGGGTTAGGGTTAGGGTTAGGGTTAGGGTTGGCGCTAGGGTTAGGGTTAGGGTTAGGGTTGGAGTTAGGGTTAGTGTTGGAGCTAGGGTTAGGGTTGGGCTTGGAGCTAGGATTTTTCTGAGTGCACTGAACCACCTCCCGAGTCTCTAGGACATTCCTAAAAAAATTTGATTTTTTCCCATAGGAATGCATGGGTTAGGGTTAGGGTTAGGGTTGGAGCTAGGGTTAGGGTTAGGGTTAGGGTTGGAGTTAGGGTTAGTGTTGGAGCTAGGGTTAGGGTTGGGCTTGGAGCTAGGATTTTTCTGAGTGCACTGAACCAACTCCCGAGTCTCTAGGACATTCCTAAAAAAATTTGATTTTTTCCCATAGGAATGCATGGGTTAGGGTTAGGGTTAGGGTTGGAGCTAGGGTTAGGGTTAGGGTTAGGGTTGGAGTTAGGGTTAGTGTTGGAGCTAGGGTTAGGGTTGGGCTTGGAGCTAGGATTTTTCTGAGTGCACTGAACCAACTCCCGAGTCTCTAGGACATTCCTAAAAAAATTTGATTTTTTCCCATAGGAATGCATGGGTTAGGTTTATGGTTAGGGTTAGGGTTGGAGCTAGGGTTAGGGTTAGGGTTAGGGTTGGAGTTAGGGTTAGTGTTGGAGCTAGGGTTAGGGTTGGGCTTGGAGCTAGGATTTTTCTGAGTGCACTGAACCAACTCCCGAGTCTCTAGGACATTCCTAAAAAAAATTGATTTTTTCCCATAGGAATGCATGGGTTAGGGTTAGGGTTAGGGTTGGAGCTAGGGTTAGGGTTAGGGTTAGGGTTGGAGTTAGGGTTAGTGTTGGAGCTAGGGTTAGGGTTGGGCTTGGAGCTAGGATTTTTCTGAGTGCACTGAACCAACTCCCGAGTCTCTAGGACATTCCTAAAAAAATTTGATTTTTTCCCATAGGAATGCATGGGTTAGGTTTATGGTTAGGGTTAGGGTTGGAGCTAGGGTTAGGGTTAGGGTTAGGGTTGGAGTTAGGGTTAGTGTTGGAGCTAGGGTTAGGGTTGGGCTTGGAGCTAGGATTTTTCTGAGTGCAATGAACCAACTCCCGAGTCTCTAGGACGTTCCTAAAAAAATTTGATTTTTTCCCATAGGAATGCATGGGTTAGGGTTAGGGTTAGGGTTGGAGCTAGGGTTAGGGTTAGGGTTAGGGTTGGAGTTAGGGTTAGTGTTGGAGCTAGGGTTAGGGTTGGGCTTGGAGCTAGGATTTTTGTGAGTGCAATGAACCAACTCCCGAGTCTCTAGGACGTTCCTAAAAAAATTTGATTTTTTTCCCATAGGAATGCATGGGTTAGGGTTAGGGTTAGGGTTGGAGCTAGGGTTAGGGTTAGGGTTGGAGTTAGGGTTAGTGTTGGAGCTAGGGTTAGGGTTGGGCTTGGAGCTAGGATTTTTCTGAGTGCACTGAACCAACTCCCGAGTCTCTAGGACATTCCTAAAAAAATTTGATTTTTTCCCATAGGAATGCATGGGTTAGGGTTAGGGTTAGGGTTGGAGCTAGGGTTAGGGTTAGGGTTAGGGTTGGAGTTAGGGTTAGTGTTGGAGCTAGGGTTAGGGTTGGGCTTGGAGCTAGGATTTTTCTGAGTGCACTGAACCAACTCCCGAGTCTCTAGGACATTCCTAAAAAAATTTGATTTTTTCCCATAGGAATGCATGGGTTAGGGTTATGGTTAGGGTTAGGGTTGGCGCTAGGGTTAGGGTTAGGGTTAGGGTTGGAGTTAGGGTTAGTGTTGGAGCTAGGGTTAGGGTTGGGCTTGGAGCTAGGATTTTTCTGAGTGCACTGAACCACCTCCCGAGTCTCTAGGACATTCCTAAAAAAATTTGATTTTTTCCCATAGGAATGCATGGGTTAGGGTTATGGTTAGGGTTAGGGTTGGCGCTAGGGTTAGGGTTAGGGTTAGGGTTGGAGTTAGGGTTAGTGTTGGAGCTAGGGTTAGGGTTGGGCTTGGAGCTAGGATTTTTCTGAGTGCACTGAACCACCTCCCGAGTCTCTAGGACATTCCTAAAAAAATTTGATTTTTTCCCATAGGAATGCATGGGTTAGGGTTAGGGTTAGGGTTGGAGCTAGGGTTAGGGTTAGGGTTAGGGTTGGAGTTAGGGTTAGTGTTGGAGCTAGGGTTAGGGTTGGGCTTGGAGCTAGGATTTTTCTGAGTGCACTGAACCAACTCCCGAGTCTCTAGGACATTCCTAAAAAAATTTGATTTTTTCCCATAGGAATGCATGGGTTAGGGTTAGGGTTAGGGTTGGAGCTAGGGTTAGGGTTAGGGTTAGGGTTGGAGTTAGGGTTAGTGTTGGAGCTAGGGTTAGGGTTGGGCTTGGAGGTAGGATTTTTCTGAGTGCACTGAACCAACTCCCGAGTCTCTAGGACATTCCTAAAAAAATTTGATTTTTTCCCATAGGAATGCATGGGTTAGGTTTATGGTTAGGGTTAGGGTTGGAGCTAGGGTTAGGGTTAGGGTTAGGGTTGGAGTTAGGGTTAGTGTTGGAGCTAGGGTTAGGGTTGGGCTTGGAGCTAGGATTTTTCTGAGTGCACTGAACCAACTCCCGAGTCTCTAGGACATTCCTAAAAAAAATTGATTTTTTCCCATAGGAATGCATGGGTTAGGGTTATGGTTAGGGTTAGGGTTGGAGCTAGGGTTAGGGTTAGGGTTAGGGTTGGAGTTAGGGTTAGTGTTGGAGCTAGGGTTAGGGTTGGGCTTGGAGCTAGGATTTGTCTGAGTGCACTGAACCAACTCCCGAGTCTCTAGGACATTCCTAAAAAAACTTGATTTTTTCCCATAGGAATGCATGGGTTAGGGTTATAGTTAGGGTTAGGGTTGGAGCTAGGGTTAGGGTTATGGTTAGGGTTGGAGTTAGGGTTAGTGTTGGAGCTAGGGTTAGGGTTGGGCTTGGAGCTAGGATTTTTCTGAGTGCAATGAACCAACTCCCGAGTCTCTAGGACGTTCCTAAAAAAATTTGATTTTTTCCCATAGGAATGCATGGGTTAGGGTTAGGGTTAGGGTTGGACCTAGGGTTAGGGTTAGGGTTAGGGTTAGGGTTGGAGTTAGGGTTAGTGTTGGAGCTAGGGTTAGGGTTGGGCTTGGAGCTAGGATTTTTCTGAGTGCACTGAACCAACTCCCGAGTCTCTAGGACGTTCCTAAAAAAATTTGATTTTTTCCCATAGGAATGCATGGGTTAGGGTTATGGTTAGGGTTAGGGTTGGAGCTAGGGTTAGGGTTAGGGTTAGGGTTGGAGTTAGGGTTAGTGTTGGAGCTAGGGTTAGGGTTGGGCTTGGAGCTAGGATTTTTCTGAGTGCAATGAACCAACTCCCGAGTCTCTAGGACGTTCCTAAAAAAATTTGATTTTTTCCCATAGGAATGCATGGGTTAGGGTTATGGTTAGGGTTAGGGTTGGAGCTAGGGTTAGGGTTAGGGTTAGGGTTGGAGTTAGGGTTAGTGTTGGAGCTAGGGTTAGGGTTGGACTTGGAGCTAGGACTTTTCTGAGTGCAATGAACCAACTCCCGAGTCTCTAGGACGTTCCTAAAAAAATTTGATTTTTTCCCATAGGAATGCATGGGTTAGGGTTAGGGTTAGGGTTGGAGCTAGGGTTAGGGTTAGGGTTAGGGTTGGAGTTAGGGTTAGTGTTGGAGCTAGGGTTAGGGTTGGGCTTGGAGCTAGGATTTTTCTGAGTGCACTGAACCAACTCCCGAGTCTCTAGGACATTCCTAAAAAAATTTGATTTTTTCCCATAGGAATGCATGGGTTAGGGTTATGGTTAGGGTTAGGGTTGGAGCTAGGGTTAGGGTTAGGGTTAGGGTTGGAGTTAGGGTTAGTGTTGGAGCTAGGGTTAGGGTTGGGCTTGGAGCTAGGATTTTTCTGAGTGCAATGAACCAACTCCCGAGTCTCTAGGACGTTCCTAAAAAAATTTGATTTTTTCCCATAGGAATGCATGGGTTAGGGTTAGGGTTAGGGTTGGAGCTAGGGTTAGTGTTGGAGCTAGGGTTAGGGTTGGGCTTGGAGCTAGGATTTTTCTGAGTGCAATGAACCAACTCCCGAGTCTCTAGGACGTTCCTAAAAAAATTTGATTTTTTTCCCATAGGAATGCATGGGTTAGGGTTAGGGTTAGGGTTGGAGCTAGGGTTAGGGTTAGGGTTAGGGTTGGAGTTAGGGTTAGTGTTGGAGCTAGGGTTAGGGTTGGGCTTGGAGCTAGGATTTTTCTGAGTGCAATGAACCAACTCCCGAGTCTCTAGGACGTTCCTAAAAAAATTTGATTTTTTCCCATAGGAATGCATGGGTTAGGGTTAGGGTTAGGGTTGGAGCTAGGGTTAGGGTTAGGGTTAGGGTTGGAGTTAGGGTTAGTGTTGGAGCTAGGGTTAGGGTTGGGCTTGGAGCTAGGATTTTTCTGAGTGCACTGAACCAACTCCCGAGTCTCTAGGACATTCCTAAAAAAATTTGATTTTTTCCCATAGGAATGCATGGGTTAGGGTTATGGTTAGGGTTAGGGTTGGAGCTAGGGTTAGGGTTAGGGTTAGGGTTAGGGTTGGAGTTAGGGTTAGTGTTGGAGCTAGGGTTAGGGTTGGGCTTGGAGCTAGGATTTTTCTGAGTGCAATGAACCAACTCCCGAGTCTCTAGGACGTTCCTAAAAAAATTTGATTTTTTCCCATAGGAATGCATGGGTTAGGGTTAGGGTTAGGGTTGGAGCTAGGGTTAGTGTTGGAGCTAGGGTTAGGGTTGGGCTTGGAGCTAGGATTTTTCTGAGTGCAATGAACCAACTCCCGAGTCTCTAGGACGTTCCTAAAAAAATTTGATTTTTTTCCCATAGGAATGCATGGGTTAGGGTTAGGGTTAGGGTTGGAGCTAGGGTTAGGGTTAGGGTTAGGGTTGGAGTTAGGGTTAGTGTTGGAGCTAGGGTTAGGGTTGGGCTTGGAGCTAGGATTTTTCTGAGTGCACTGAACCAACTCCCGAGTCTCTAGGACATTCCTAAAAAATTTTGATTTTTTCCCATAGGAATGCATGGGTTAGGGTTAGGGTTAGGGTTGGAGCTAGGGTTAGGGTTAGGGTTAGGGTTGGAGTTAGGGTTAGTGTTGGAGCTAGGGTTAGGGTTGGGCTTGGAGCTAGGATTTTTCTGAGTGCACTGAACCAACTCCCGAGTCTCTAGGACATTCCTAAAAAAATTTGATTTTTTCCCATAGGAATGCATGGGTTAGGGTTATGGTTAGGGTTAGGGTTGGAGCTAGGGTTAGGGTTAGGGTTAGGGTTGGAGTTAGGGTTAGTGTTGGAGCTAGGGTTAGGGTTGGGCTTGGAGCTAGGATTTGTCTGAGTGCACTGAACCAACTCCCGAGTCTCTAGGACATTCCTAAAAAAATTTGATTTTTTCCCATAGGAATGCATGGGTTAGGGTTATAGTTAGGGTTAGGGTTGGAGCTAGGGTTAGGGTTATGGTTAGGGTTGGTGTTAGGGTTAGTGTTGGAGCTAGGGTTAGGGTTGGGCTTGGAGTTAGGATTTTTCTGAGTGCAATGAACCAACTCCCGAGTCTCTAGGACGTTCCTAAAAAAAATTGATTTTTTCCCATAGGAATGCATGGGTTAGGGTTAGGGTTAGGGTTGGAGCTAGGGTTAGGGTTAGGGTTAGGGTTGGAGTTAGGGTTAGTGTTGGAGCTAGGTTTAGGGTTGGGCTTGGAGCTAGGATTTTTCTGAGTGCACTGAACCAACTCCCGAGTCTCTAGGACATTCCTAAAAAAATTTGATTTTTTCCCATAGGAATGCATGGGTTAGGGTTATGGTTAGGGTTAGGGTTGGAGCTAGGGTTAGGGTTAGGGTTAGGGTTGGAGTTAGGGTTAGTGTTGGAGCTAGGGTTAGGGTTGGGCTTGGAGCTAGGATTTTTCTGAGTGCAATGAACCAACTCCCGAGTCTCTAGGACGTTCCTAAAAAAATTTGATTTTTTCCCATAGGAATGCATGGGTTAGGATTAGGGTTAGGGTTGGAGCTAGGGTTAGGGTTAGGGTTAGGGTTGGAGTTAGGGTTAGTGTTGGAGCTAGGGTTAGGGTTGGGCTTGGAGCTAGGATTTTTCTGAGTGCAAAGAACCAACTCCCGAGTCTCTAGGACGTTCCTAAAAAAATTTGATTTTTTCCCATAGGAATGCATGGGTTAGGGTTATGGTTAGGGTTAGGGTTGGAGCTAGGGTTAGGGTTAGGGTTAGGGTTGGAGTTAGGGTTAGTGTTGGAGCTAGGGTTAGGGTTGGGCTTGGAGCTAGGATTTTTCTGAGTGCACTGAACCAACTCCCGAGTCTCTAGGACGTTCCTAAAAAAATTTGATTTTTTCCCATAGGAATGCATGGGTTAGGGTTATGGTTAGGGTTAGGGTTGGAGCTAGGGTTAGGGTTAGGGTTAGGGTTGGAGTTAGGGTTAGTGTTGGAGCTAGGGTTAGGGTTGGACTTGGAGCTAGGACTTTTCTGAGTGCAATGAACCAACTCCCGAGTCTCTAGGACGTTCCTAAAAAAATTTGATTTTTTCCCATAGGAATGCATGGGTTAGGGTTAGGGTTAGGGTTGGAGCTAGGGTTAGGGTTAGGGTTAGGGTTGGAGTTAGGGTTAGTGTTGGAGCTAGGCTTAGGGTTGGGCTTGGAGCTAGGATTTTTCTGAGTGCACTGAACCAACTCCCGAGTCTCTAGGACATTCCTAAAAAAATTTGATTTTTTCCCATAGGAATGCATGGGTTAGGGTTATGGTTAGGGTTAGGGTTGGAGCTAGGGTTAGGGTTAGGGTTAGGGTTGGAGTTAGGGTTAGTGTTGGAGCTAGGGTTAGGGTTGGGCTTGGAGCTAGGATTTTTCTGAGTGCACTGAACCAACTCCCGAGTCTCTAGGACATTCCTAAAAAAATTGATTTTTTCCCATAGGAATGCATGGGTTAGGGTTATGGTTAGGGTTAGGGTTGGAGCTAGGGTTAGGGTTAGGGTTAGGGTTGGAGTTAGGGTTAGTGTTGGAGCTAGGGTTAGGGTTGGGCTTGGAGCTAGGATTTTTCTGAGTGCAATGAACCAACTCCCGAGTCTCTAGGACGTTCCTAAAAAAATTTGATTTTTTCCCATAGGAATGCATGGGTTAGGGTTAGGGTTAGGGTTGGAGCTAGGGTTAGGGTTAGGGTTAGGGTTGGAGTTAGGGTTAGTGTTGGAGCTAGGGTTAGGGTTGGGCTTGGAGCTAGGATTTTTCTGAGTGCACTGAACCAACTCCCGAGTCTCTAGGACATTCCTAAAAAAATTTGATTTTTTCCCATAGGAATGCATGGGTTAGGGTTAGGGTTAGGGTTGGAGCTAGGGTTAGGGTTAGGGTTAGGGTTGGAGTTAGGGTTAGTGTTGGAGCTAGGGTTAGGGTTGGGCTTGGAGCTAGGATTTTTCTGAGTGCACTGAACCAACTCCCGAGTCTCTAGGACATTCCTAAAAAAATTGATTTTTTCCCATAGGAATGCATGGGTTAGGGTTAGGGTTAGGGTTGGAGCTAGGGTTAGGGTTAGGGTTAGGGTTGGAGTTAGGGTTAGTGTTGGAGCTAGGGTTAGGGTTGGGCTTGGAGCTAGGATTTTTCTGAGTGCACTGAACCAACTCCCGAGTCTCTAGGACATTCCTAAAAAAATTTGATTTTTTCCCATAGGAATGCATGGGTTAGGTTTATGGTTAGGATTAGGGTTGGAGCTAGGGTTAGGGTAAGGGTTAGGGTTGGAGTTAGGGTTAGTGTTGGAGCTAGGGTTAGGGTTGGGCTTGGAGCTAGGATTTTTCTGAGTGCAATGAACCAACTCCCGAGTCTCTAGGACGTTCCTAAAAAAATTTGATTTTTTCCCATAGGAATGCATGGGTTAGGGTTAGGGTTAGGGTTGGAGCTAGGGTTAGGGTTAGGGTTAGGGTTGGAGTTAGGGTTAGTGTTGGAGCTAGGGTTAGGGTTGGGCTTGGAGCTAGGATTTTTGTGAGTGCAATGAACCAACTCCCGAGTCTCTAGGACGTTCCTAAAAAAATTTGATTTTTTTCCCATAGGAATGCATGGGTTAGGGTTAGGGTTAGGGTTGGAGCTAGGGTTAGGGTTAGGGTTAGGGTTGGAGTTAGGGTTAGTGTTGGAGCTAGGGTTAGGGTTGGGCTTGGAGCTAGGATTTTTCTGAGTGCACTGAACCAACTCCCGAGTCTCTAGGACATTCCTAAAAAAATTTGATTTTTTCCCATAGGAATGCATGGGTTAGGGTTAGGGTTGGAGCTAGGGTTAGGGTTAGGGTTAGGGTTGGAGTTAGGGTTAGTGTTGGAGCTAGGGTTAGGGTTGGGCTTGGAGCTAGGATTTTTCTGAGTGCACTGAACCAACTCCCGAGTCTCTAGGACGTTCCTAAAAAAATTTGATTTTTTCCCATAGGAATGCATGGGTTAGGGTTATGGTTAGGGTTAGGGTTGGAGCTAGGGTTAGGGTTAGGGTTAGGGTTGGAGTTAGGGTTAGTGTTGGAGCTAGGGTTAGGGTTGGACTTGGAGCTAGGACTTTTCTGAGTGCAATGAACCAACTCCCGAGTCTCTAGGACGTTCCTAAAAAAATTTGATTTTTTCCCATAGGAATGCATGGGTTAGGGTTAGGGTTAGGGTTGGAGCTAGGGTTAGGGTTAGGGTTAGGGTTGGAGTTAGGGTTAGTGTTGGAGCTAGGCTTAGGGTTGGGCTTGGAGCTAGGATTTTTCTGAGTGCACTGAACCAACTCCCGAGTCTCTAGGACATTCCTAAAAAAATTTGATTTTTTCCCATAGGAATGCATGGGTTAGGGTTATGGTTAGGGTTAGGGTTGGAGCTAGGGTTAGGGTTAGGGTTAGGGTTGGAGTTAGGGTTAGTGTTGGAGCTAGGGTTAGGGTTGGGCTTGGAGCTAGGATTTTTCTGAGTGCAATGAACCAACTCCCGAGTCTCTAGGACGTTCCTAAAAAAATTTGATTTTTTCCCATAGGAATGCATGGGTTAGGGTTAGGGTTAGGGTTGGAGCTAGGGTTAGGGTTAGGGTTAGGGTTGGAGTTAGGGTTAGTGTTGGAGCTAGGGTTAGGGTTGGGCTTGGAGCTAGGATTTTTCTGAGTGCAATGAACCAACTCCCGAGTCTCTAGGACGTTCCTAAAAAAATTTGATTTTTTTCCCATAGGAATGCATGGGTTAGGGTTAGGGTTAGGGTTGGAGCTAGGGTTAGGGTTAGGGTTAGGGTTGGAGTTAGGGTTAGTGTTGGAGCTAGGGTTAGGGTTGGGCTTGGAGCTAGGATTTTTCTGAGTGCACTGAACCAACTCCCGAGTCTCTAGGACATTCCTAAAAAAATTTGATTTTTTCCCATAGGAATGCATGGGTTAGGGTTAGGGTTAGGGTTGGAGCTAGGGTTAGGGTTAGGGTTAGGGTTGGAGTTAGGGTTAGTGTTGGAGCTAGGGTTAGGGTTGGGCTTGGAGCTAGGATTTTTCTGAGTGCACTGAACCAACTCCGGAGTCTCTAGGACATTCCTAAAAAAATTTGATTTTTTCCCATAGGAATGCATGGGTTAGGTTTATGGTTAGGGTTAGGGTTGGAGCTAGGGTTAGGGTTAGGGTTCGGGTTGGAGTTAGGGTTAGTGTTGGAGCTAGGGTTAGGGTTGGGCTTGGAGCTAGGATTTTTCTGAGTGCAATGAACCAACTCCCGAGTCTCTAGGACATTCCTGAAAAAATTGGATTTTTTTCCCATAGGAATGCATGGGTTAGGGTTAGGGTTAGGGTTGGAGCTAGGGTTAGGGTTAGGGTTAGGGTTGGAGTTAGGGTTAGTGTTGGAGCTAGGGTTAGGGTTGGGCTTGGAGCTAGGATTTTTGTGAGTGCAATGAACCAACTCCCGAGTCTCTAGGACGTTCCTAAAAAAATTTGATTTTTTTCCCATAGGAATGCATGGGTTAGGGTTAGGTTAGGGTTGGAGCTAGGGTTAGGGTTAGGGTTAGGGTTGGAGTTAGGGTTAGTGTTGGAGCTAGGGTTAGGGTTGGGCTTGGAGCTAGGATTTTTCTGAGTGCACTGAACCAACTCCCGAGTCTCTAGGACATTCCTAAAAAAATTTGATTTTTTCCATAGGAATGCATGGGTTAGGGTTAGGGTTAGGGTTGGAGCTAGGGTTAGGGTTAGGGTTAGGGTTGGAGTTAGGGTTAGTGTTGGAGCTAGGGTTAGGGTTGGGCTTGGAGCTAGGATTTTTCTGAGTGCACTGAACCAACTCCTGAGTCTCTAGGACATTCCTAAAAAAAATTGATTTTTTTCCCATAGGAATGCATGGGTTAGGGTTATGGTTAGGGTTAGGGTTGGAGCTAGGGTTAGGGTTAGGGTTAGGGTTGGAGTTAGGGTTAGTGTTGGAGCTAGGGTTAGGGTTGGGCTTGGAGCTAGGATTTTTCTGAGTGCACTGAACCAACTCCCGAGTCTCTAGGACATTCCTAAAAAAATTTGATTTTTTCCCATAGGAATGCATGGGTTAGGGTTATGGTTAGGGTTAGGGTTGGAGCTAGGGTTAGGGTTAGGGTTGGAGTTAGGGTTAGTGTTGGAGCTAGGGTTAGGGTTGGGCTTGGAGCTAGGATTTTTCTGAGTGCACTGAACCAACTCCTGAGTCTCTAGGACATTCCTAAAAAAAATTGATTTTTTTCCCATAGGAATGCATGGGTTAGGGTTATGGTTAGGGTTAGGGTTGGAGCTAGGGTTAGGGTTAGGGTTAGGGTTGGAGTTAGGGTTAGTGTTGGAGCTAGGGTTAGGGTTGGGCTTGGAGCTAGGATTTTTCTGAGTGCACTGAACCAACTCCCGAGTCTCTAGGACATTCCTAAAAAAATTTGATTTTTTCCCATAGGAATGCATGGGTTAGGTTTATGGTTAGGGTTAGGGTTGGAGCTAGGGTTAGGTTTAGGGTTAGGGTTGGAGTTAGGGTTAGTGTTGGAGCTAGGGTTAGGGTTGGGCTTGGAGCTAGGATTTTTGTGAGTGCAATGAACCAACTCCCGAGTCTCTAGGACGTTCCTAAAAAAATTTGATTTTTTCCCATAGGAATGCATGGGTTAGGGTTAGGGTTAGGGTTGGAGCTAGGGTTAGGGTTAGGGTTAGGGTTGGAGTTAGGGTTAGTGTTGGAGCTAGGCTTAGGGTTGGGCTTGGAGCTAGGATTTTTCTGAGTGCACTGAACCAACTCCCGAGTCTCTAGGACATTCCTAAAAAAATTTGATTTTTTCCCATAGGAATGCATGGGTTAGGGTTATGGTTAGGGTTAGGGTTGGAGCTAGGGTTAGGGTTAGGGTTAGGGTTGGAGTTAGGGTTAGTGTTGGAGCTAGGGTTAGGGTTGGGCTTGGAGCTAGGATTTTTCTGAGTGCACTGAACCAACTCCCGAGTCTCTAGGACATTCCTAAAAAAAATTGATTTTTTCCCATAGGAATGCATGGGTTAGTGTTATGGTTAGGGTTGGAGCTAGGGTTAGGGTTAGGGTTGGAGTTAGGGTTAGTGTTGGAGCTAGGGTTAGGGTTGGGCTTGGAGCTAGGATTTTTCTGAGTGCAATGAACCAACTCCCGAGTCTCTAGGACGTTCCTAAAAAAATTTGATTTTTTCCCATAGGAATGCATGGGTTAGGGTTAGGGTTAGGGTTGGAGCTAGGGTTAGGGTTAGGGTTAGGGTTGGAGTTAGGGTTAGTGTTGGAGCTAGGGTTAGGGTTGGGCTTGGAGCTAGGATTTTTCTGAGTGCACTGAACCAACTCCCGAGTCTCTAGGACATTCCTAAAAAAATTTGATTTTTTCCCATAGGAATGCATGGGTTAGGGTTAGGGTTAGGGTTGGAGCTAGGGTTAGGGTTAGGGTTAGGGTTGGAGTTAGGGTTAGTGTTGGAGCTAGGGTTAGGGTTGGGCTTGGAGCTAGGATTTTTCTGAGTGCACTGAACCAACTCCTGAGTCTCTAGGACATTCCTAAAAAAAATTGATTTTTTTCCCATAGGAATGCATGGGTTAGGGTTATGGTTAGGGTTAGGGTTGGAGCTAGGGTTAGGGTTAGGGTTAGGGTTGGAGTTAGGGTTAGTGTTGGAGCTAGGGTTAGGGTTGGGCTTGGAGCTAGGATTTTTCTGAGTGCACTGAACCAACTCCCGAGTCTCTAGGACATTCCTAAAAAAATTTGATTTTTTCCCATAGGAATGCATGGGTTAGGTTTATGGTTAGGTTTAGGGTTGGAGCTAGGGTTAGGGTTAGGGTTAGGGTTGGAGTTAGGGTTAGTGTTGGAGCTAGGGTTAGGGTTGGGCTTGGAGCTAGGATTTTTCTGAGTGCACTGAACCAACTCCAGAGTCTCTAGGACATTCCTAAAAAAATTTGATTTTTTCCCATAGGAATGCATGGGTTAGGGTTATGGTTAGGGTTAGGGTTGGAGCTAGGGTTAGGGTTAGGGTTAGGGTTGGAGTTAGGGTTAGTGTTGGAGCTAGGGTTAGGGTTGGGCTTGGAGCTAGGATTTTTCTGAGTGCACTGAACCAACTCCCGAGTCTCTAGGACATTCCTAAAAAAATTTAATTTTTTCCCATAGGAATGCATGGGTTAGGGTTATGGTTAGGGTTAGGGTTGGAGCTAGGGTTAGGGTTAGGGTTAGGGTTGGAGTTAGGGTTAGTGTTGGAGCTAGGGTTAGGGTTGGGCTTGGAGCTAGGATTTTTCTGAGTGTAATGAACCAACTCCGGAGTCTCTAGGACGTTCCTAAAAAAAATTGATTTTTTCCCATAGGAATGCATGGGTTAGGGTTAGGGTTAGGGTTGGAGCTAGGGTTAGGGTTAGGGTTAGGGTTGGAGTTAGGGTTAGTGTTGGAGCTAGGGTTAGGGTTGGGCTTGGAGCTAGGATTTTTCTGAGTGCACTGAACCAACTCCCGAGTCTCTAGGACATTCCTAAAAAATTTTGATTTTTTCCCATAGGAATGCATGGGTTAGGGTTAGGGTTAGGGTTGGAGCTAGGGTTAGGGTTAGGGTTAGGGTTGGAGTTAGGGTTAGTGTTGGAGCTAGGGTTAGGGTTGGGCTTGGAGCTAGGATTTTTCTGAGTGCACTGAACCAACTCCCGAGTCTCTAGGACATTCCTAAAAAAAATTGATTTTTTCCCATAGGAATGCATGGGTTAGGGTTATGGTTAGGGTTAGGGTTGGAGCTAGGGTTAGGGTTAGGGTTAGGGTTGGAGTTAGGGTTAGTGTTGGAGCTAGGGTTAGGGTTGGGCTTGGAGCTAGGATTTGTCTGAGTGCACTGAACCAACTCCCGAGTCTCTAGGACATTCCTAAAAAAATTTGATTTTTTCCCATAGGAATGCATGGGTTAGGGTTATAGTTAGGGTTAGGGTTGGAGCTAGGGTTAGGGTTATGGTTAGGGTTGGAGTTAGGGTTAGTGTTGGAGCTAGGGTTAGGGTTGGGCTTGGAGTTAGGATTTTTCTGAGTGCAATGAACCAACTCCCGAGTCTCTAGGACGTTCCTAAAAAAAATTGATTTTTTCCCATAGGAATGCATGGGTTAGGGTTAGGGTTAGGGTTGGAGCTAGGGTTAGGGTTAGGGTTAGGGTTGGAGTTAGGGTTAGTGTTGGAGCTAGGTTTAGGGTTGGGCTTGGAGCTAGGATTTTTCTGAGTGCACTGAACCAACCCCAGAGTCTCTAGGACATTCCTAAAAAAATTTGATTTTTTCCCATAGGAATGCATGGGTTAGGGTTATGGTTAGGGTTAGGGTTGGAGCTAGGGTTAGGGTTAGGGTTAGGGTTGGAGTTAGGGTTAGTGTTGGAGCTAGGGTTAGGGTTGGGCTTGGAGCTTGGATTTTTCTGAGTGCACTGAACCAACTCCCGAGTCTCTAGGACATTCCTAAAAAAATTTGATTTTTTCCCATAGGAATGCATGGGTTAGGGTTATAGTTAGGGTTAGGGTTGGAGCTAGGGTTAGGGTTATGGTTAGGGTTGGAGTTAGGGTTAGTGTTGGAGCTAGGGTTAGGGTTGGGCTTGGAGTTAGGATTTTTCTGAGTGCACTGAACCAACTCCCGAGTCTCTAGGACGTTCCTAAAAAAATTGATTTTTTCCCATAGGAATGCATGGGTTAGGGTTAGGGTTAGGGTTGGAGCTAGGGTTAGGGTTAGGGTTAGGGTTGGAGTTAGGGTTAGTGTTGGAGCTAGGTTTAGGGTTGGGCTTGGAGCTAGGATTTTTCTGAGTGCACTGAACCAACTCCAGAGTCTCTAGGACATTCCTAAAAAAATTTGATTTTTTCCCATAGGAATGCATGGGTTAGGGTTATGGTTAGGGTTAGGGTTGGAGCTAGGGTTAGGGTTAGGGTTAGGGTTGGAGTTAGGGTTAGTGTTGGAGCTAGGGTTAGGGTTGGGCTTGGAGCTAGGATTTTTCTGAGTGCAATGAACCAACTCCCGAGTCTCTAGGACGTTCCTAAAAAAATTTGATTTTTTCCCATAGGAATGCATGGGTTAGGATTAGGGTTAGGGTTGGAGCTAGGGTTAGGGTTAGGGTTAGGGTTGGAGTTAGGGTTAGTGTTGGAGCTAGGGTTAGGGTTGGGCTTGGAGCTAGGATTTTTCTGAGTGCAAAGAACCAACTCCCGAGTCTCTAGGACGTTCCTAAAAAAATTTGATTTTTTCCCATAGGAATGCATGGGTTAGGGTTATGGTTAGGGTTAGGGTTGGAGCTAGGGTTAGGGTTAGGGTTAGGGTTGGAGCTAGGGTTAGTGTTGGAGCTAGGGTTAGGGTTGGGCTTGGAGTTAGGATTTTTCTGAGTGCAATGAACCAACTCCCGAGTCTCTAGGACGTTCCTAAAAAAATTTGATTTTTTCCCATAGGAATGCATGGGTTAGGGTTATGGTTAGGGTTAGGGTTGGAGCTAGGGTTAGGGTTAGGGTTAGGGTTGGAGTTAGGGTTAGTGTTGGAGCTAGGGTTAGGGTTGGACTTGGAGCTAGGACTTTTCTGAGTGCAATGAACCAACTCCCGAGTCTCTAGGACGTTCCTAAAAAAAATTGATTTTTTCCCATAGGAATGCATGGGTTAGGGTTAGGGTTAGGGTTGGAGCTAGGGTTAGGGTTAGGGTTAGGGTTGGAGTTAGGGTTAGTGTTGGAGCTAGGGTTAGGGTTGGGCTTGGAGCTAGGATTTTTCTGAGTGCACTGAACCAACTCCCGAGTCTCTAGGACGTTCCTAAAAAAATTTGATTTTTTTCCCATAGGAATGCATGGGTTAGGGTTAGGGTTAGGGTTGGAGCTAGGGTTAGGGTTAGGGTTAGGGTTGGAGTTAGGGTTAGTGTTGGAGCTAGGGTTAGGGTTGGGCTTGGAGCTAGGATTTTTCTGAGTGCACTGAACCAACTCCCGAGTCTCTAGGACATTCCTAAAAAATTTTGATTTTTTCCCATAGGAATGCATGGGTTAGGGTTATAGTTAGGGTTAGGGTTGGAGCTAGGGTTAGGGTTAGGGTTAGGGTTGGAGTTAGGGTTAGTGTTGGAGCTAGGGTTAGGGTTGGGCTTGGAGCTAGGATTTTTCTGAGTGCACTGAACCAACTCCCGAGTCTCTAGGACATTCCTAAAAAATTGATTTTTTTCCCATAGGAATGCATGGGTTAGGGTTATGGTTAGGGTTAGGGTTGGAGCTAGGGTTAGGGTTAGGGTTAGGGTTGGAGTTAGGGTTAGTGTTGGAGCTAGGGTTAGGGTTGGGCTTGGAGTTAGGATTTGTCTGAGTGCACTGAACCAACTCCCGAGTCTCTAGGACATTCCTAAAAAAATTTGATTTTTTCCCATAGGAATGCATGGGTTAGGGTTATAGTTAGGGTTAGGGTTGGAGCTAGGGTTAGGGTTATGGTTAGGGTTGGAGTTAGGGTTAGTGTTGGAGCTAGGGTTAGGGTTGGGCTTGGAGCTAGGATTTTTCTGAGTGCAATGAACCAACTCCCGAGTCTCTAGGACGTTCCTAAAAATATTTGATTTTTTCCCATAGGAATGCATGGGTTAGGGTTAGGGTTAGGGTTGGAGCTAGGGTTAGGGTTAGGGTTAGGGTTGGAGTTAGGGTTAGTGTTGGAGCTAGGGTAAGGGTTGGGCTTGGAGCTAGGATTTTTCTGAGTGCACTGAACCAACTCCCGAGTCTCTAGGACATTTCTAAAAAAAATTGATTTTTTCCCATAGGAATGCATGGGTTAGGGTTATGGTTAGGGTTAGGGTTGGAGCTAGGGTTAGGGTTAGGGTTAGGGTTGGAGTTAGGGTTAGGGTTGCAGCTAGGGTTAGGGTTGGGCTTGGAGCTAGGATTTTTCTGAGTGCACTGAACCAACTCCCGAGTCTCTAGGACATTCCTAAAAAAATTTGATTTTTTCCCATAGGAATGCATGGGTTAGGTTTATGGTTAGGGTTAGGGTTGGAGCTAGGGTTAGGGTTAGGGTTAGGGTTGGAGTTAGGGTTAGTGTTGGAGCTAGGGTTAGGGTTGGGCTTGGAGTTAGGATTTTTCTGAGTGCAATGAACCAACTCCCGAGTCTCTAGGACGTTCCTAAAAAAATTTGATTTTTTCCCATAGGAATGCATGGGTTAGGGTTAGGGTTAGGGTTGGAGCTAGGGTTAGGGTTAGGGTTAGGGTTGGAGTTAGGGTTAGTGTTGGAGCTAGGTTTAGGGTTGGGCTTGGAGCTAGGATTTTTCTGAGTGCACTGAACCAACTCCCGAGTCTCTAGGACATTCCTAAAAAAATTTGATTTTTTCCCATAGGAATGCATGGGTTAGGGTTATGGTTAGGGTTAGGGTTGGCGCTAGGGTTAGGGTTAGGGTTAGGGTTGGAGTTAGGGTTAGTGTTGGAGCTAGGGTTAGGGTTGGGCTTGGAGCTAGGATTTTTCTGAGTGCAATGAACCAACTCCCGAGTCTCTAGGACGTTCCTAAAAAAATTTGATTTTTTCCCATAGGAATGCATGGGTTAGGGTTAGGGTTAGGGTTGGAGCTAGGGTTAGGGTTAGGGTTAGGGTTGGAGTTAGGGTTAGTGTTGAAGCTAGGGTTAGGGTTGGGCTTGGAGCTAGGATTTTTCTGAGTGCAAAGAACCAACTCCCGAGTCTCTAGGACGTTCCTAAAAAAATTTGATTTTTTCCCATAGGAATGCATGGGTTAGGGTTATGGTTAGGGTTAGGGTTGGAGCTAGGGTTAGGGTTAGGGTTAGGGTTGGAGTTAGGGTTAGTGTTGGAGCTAGGGTTAGGGTTGGGCTTGGAGCTAGGATTTTTCTGAGTGCAATGAACCAACTCCCGAGTCTCTAGGACGTTCCTAAAAAAATTTGATTTTTTCCCATAGGAATGCATGGGTTAGGGTTATGGTTAGGGTTAGGGTTGGAGCTAGGGTTAGGGTTAGGGTTAGGGTTGGAGTTAGGGTTAGTGTTGGAGCTAGGGTTAGGGTTGGACTTGGAGCTAGGACTTTTCTGAGTGCAATGAACCAACTCCCGAGTCTCTAGGACGTTCCTAAAAAAATTTGATTTTTTCCCATAGGAATGCATGGGTTAGGGTTAGGGTTAGGGTTGGAGCTAGGGTTAGGGTTAGGGTTAGGGTTGGAGTTAGGGTTAGTGTTGGAGCTAGGGTTAGGGTTGGGCTTGGAGCTAGGATTTTTCTGAGTGCACTGAACCAACTCCCGAGTCTCTAGGACATTCCTAAAAAAATTTGATTTTTTCCCATAGGAATGCATGGGTTAGGGTTATGGTTAGGGTTAGGGTTGGAGCTAGGGTTAGGGTTAGGGTTAGGGTTGGAGTTAGGGTTAGTGTTGGAGCTAGGGTTAGGGTTGGGCTTGGAGCTAGGATTTTTCTGAGTGCAATGAACCAACTCCCGAGTCTCTAGGACGTTCCAAAAAAATTTGATTTTTTCCCATAGGAATGCATGGGTTAGGGTTAGGGTTAGGGTTAGAGCTAGGGTTAGGGTTAGGGTTAGGGTTGGAGTTAGGGTTAGTGTTGGAGCTAGGGTTAGGGTTGGGCTTGGAGCTAGGATTTTTCTGAGTGCACTGAACCAACTCCCGAGTCTCTAGGACATTCCTAAAAAAATTTGATTTTTTTCCCATAGGAATGCATGGGTTAGGGTTATGGTTAGGGTTAGGGTTGGAGCTAGGGTTAGGGTTAGGGTTAGGGTTGGAGTTAGGGTTAGTGTTGGAGCTAGGGTTAGGGTTGGGCTTGGAGCTAGGATTTTTCTGAGTGCAATGAACCAACTCCCGAGTCTCTAGGACGTTCCTAAAAAAATTTGATTTTTTCCCATAGGAATGCATGGGTTAGGGTTATGGTTAGGGTTAGGGTTGGAGCTAGGGTTAGGGTTAGGGTTAGGGTTGGAGTTAGGGTTAGTGTTGGAGCTAGGGTTAGGGTTGGGCTTGGAGCTAGGATTTTTCTGAGTGCAATGAACCAACTCCCGAGTCTCTAGGACGTTCCTAAAAAAATTTGATTTTTTCCCATAGGAATGCATGGGTTAGGGTTATGGTTAGGGTTAGGGTTGGAGCTAGGGTTAGGGTTAGGGTTAGGGTTGGAGTTAGGGTTAGTGTTGGAGCTAGGGTTAGGGTTGGACTTGGAGCTAGGACTTTTCTGAGTGCAATGAACCAACTCCCGAGTCTCTAGGACGTTCCTAAAAAAATTTGATTTTTTCCCATAGGAATGCATGGGTTAGGGTTAGGGTTAGGGTTGGAGCTAGGGTTAGGGTTAGGGTTAGGGTTGGAGTTAGGGTTAGTGTTGGAGCTAGGGTTAGGGTTGGGCTTGGAGCTAGGATTTTTCTGAGTGCACTGAACCAACTCCCGAGTCTCTAGGACATTCCTAAAAAAATTTGATTTTTTCCCATAGGAATGCATGGGTTAGGGTTATGGTTAGGGTTAGGGTTGGAGCTAGGGTTAGGGTTAGGGTTAGGGTTGGAGTTAGGGTTAGTGTTGGAGCTAGGGTTAGGGTTGGGCTTGGAGCTAGGATTTTTCTGAGTGCACTGAACCAACTCCTGAGTCTCTAGGACATTCCTAAAAAAAATTGATTTTTTTCCCATAGGAATGCATGGGTTAGGGTTATGGTTAGGGTTAGGGTTGGAGCTAGGGTTAGGGTTAGGGTTAGGGTTGGAGTTAGGGTTAGTGTTGGAGCTAGGGTTAGGGTTGGGCTTGGAGCTAGGATTTTTCTGAGTGCACTGAACCAACTCCCGAGTCTCTAGGACATTCCTAAAAAAATTTGATTTTTTCCCATAGGAATGCATGGGTTAGGTTTATGGTTAGGGTTAGGGTTGGAGCTAGGGTTAGGGTTAGGGTTAGGGTTGGAGTTAGGGTTAGTGTTGGAGCTAGGGTTAGGGTTGGGCTTGGAGCTAGGATTTTTCTGAGTGCAATGAACCAACTCCCGCGTCTCTAGGACGTTCCTAAAAAAATTTGATTTTTTTCCCATAGGAATGCATGGGTTAGGGTTAGGGTTAGGGTTGGAGCTAGGGTTAGGGTTAGGGTTAGGGTTGGAGTTAGGGTTAGTGTTGGAGCTAGGGTTAGGGTTGGGCTTGGAGCTAGGATTTTTCTGAGTGCACTGAACCAACTCCCGAGTCTCTAGGACATTCCTAAAAAATTTTGATTTTTTCCCATAGGAATGCATGGGTTAGGGTTAGGGTTGGAGCTAGGGTTAGGGTTAGGGTTAGGGTTGGGGTTAGGGTTAGTGTTGGAGCTAGGGTTAGGGTTGGGCTTGGAGCTAGGATTTTTCTGAGTGCACTGAACCAACTCCCGAGTCTCTAGGACATTCCTAAAAAAAATTGATTTTTTTCCCATAGGAATGCATGGGTTAGGGTTATGGTTAGGGTTAGGGTTGGAGCTAGGGTTAGGGTTAGGGTTAGGGTTGGAGTTAGGGTTAGTGTTGGAGCTAGGGTTAGGGTTGGGCTTGGAGCTAGGATTTTTCTGAGTGCACTGAACCAACTCCCGAGTCTCTAGGACATTCCTAAAAAAATTTGATTTTTTCCCATAGGAATGCATGGGTTAGGTTTATGGTTAGGGTTAGGGTTGGAGCTAGGGTTAGGGTTAGGGTTAGGGTTGGAGTTAGGGTTAGTGTTGGAGCTAGGGTTAGGGTTGGGCTTGGAGCTAGGATTTTTCTGAGTGCACTGAACCAACTCCCGAGTCTCTAGGACGTTCCTAGAAAAAATTGATTTTTTCCCATAGGAATGCATGGGTTAGGGTTAGGGTTAGGGTTGGAGCTAGGGTTAGGGTTAGGGTTAGGGTTGGAGTTAGGGTTAGTGTTGGAGCTAGGGTTAGGGTTGGGCTTGGAGCTAGGATTTTTCTGAGTGCACTGAACCAACTCCCGAGTCTCTAGGACATTCCTAAAAAAATTTGATTTTTTTCCCATAGGAATGCATGGGTTAGGGTTAGGGTTAGGGTTAGGGTTGGAGCTAGGGTTAGGGTTAGGGTTAGGGTTGGAGTTAGGGTTAGTGATGGAGCTAGGGTTAGGGTTGGGCTTGGAGCTAGGATTTTTCTGAGTGCAATGAACCAACTCCCGAGTCTCTAGGACGTTCCTAAAAAAATTTGATTTTTTCCCATAGGAATGCATGGGTTAGGGTTAGGGTTAGGGTTGGAGCTAGGGTTAGGGTTAGGGTTAGGGTTGGAGTTAGGGTTAGTGTTGGAGCTAGGGTTAGGGTTGGGCTTGGAGCTAGGATTTTTCTGAGTGCAATGAACCAACTCCCGAGTCTCTAGGAAGTTCCTAAAAAAATTTGATTTTTTCCCATAGGAATGCATGGGTTAGGGTTATGGTTATGGTTAGGGTTGGAGCTAGGGTTAGGGTTAGGGTTAGGGTTGGAGTTAGGGTTAGTGTTGGAGCTAGGGTTAGGGTTGGACTTGGAGCTAGGACTTTTCTGAGTGCAATGAACCAACTCCCGAGTCTCTAGGACGTTCCTAAAAAAATTTGATTTTTTCCCATAGGAATGCATGGGTTAGGGTTAGGGTTAGGGTTGGAGCTAGGGTTAGGGTTAGGGTTAGGGTTGGAGTTAGGGTTAGTGTTGGAGCTAGGGTTAGGGTTGGGCTTGGAGCTAGGATTTTTCTGAGTGCACTGAACCACCTCCCGAGTCTCTAGGACATTCCTAAAAAAATTTGATTTTTTCCCATAGGAATGCATGGGTTAGGGTTATGGTTAGGGTTAGGGTTGGAGCTAGGGTTAGGGTTAGGGTTAGGGTTGGAGTTAGGGTTAGTGTTGGAGCTAGGGTTAGGGTTGGGCTTGGAGCTAGGATTTTTCTGAGTGCAATGAACCAACTCCCGAGTCTCTAGGACATTCCTAAAAAAATTTGATTTTTTTCCCATAGGAATGCATGGGTTAGGGTTAGGGTTAGGGTTGGAGCTAGGGTTAGGGTTAGGGTTAGGGTTGGAGTTAGGGTTAGTGTTGGAGCTAGGGTTAGGGTTGGGCTTGGAGCTAGGATTTTTCTGAGTGCACTGAACCAACTCCCGAGTCTCTAGGACATTCCTAAAAAAATTTGATTTTTTCCCATAGGAATGCATGGGTTAGGTTTATGGTTAGGGTTAGGGTTGGAGCTAGGGTTAGGGTTAGGGTTAGGGTTGGAGTTAGGGTTAGTGTTGGAGCTAGGGTTAGGGTTGGGCTTGGAGCTAGGATTTTTCTGAGTGCAATGAACCAACTCCCGAGTCTCTAGGACGTTCCTAAAAAAATTTGATTTTTTCCCATAGGAATGCATGGGTTAGGGTTAGGGTTAGGGTTGGAGCTAGGGTTAGGGTTAGGGTTAGGGTTGGAGTTAGGGTTAGTGTTGGAGCTAGGGTTAGGGTTGGGCTTGGAGCTAGGATTTTTCTGAGTGCACTGAACCAACTCCCGAGTCTCTAGGACATTCCTAAAAAAATTTGATTTTTTTCCCATAGGAATGCATGGGTTAGGGTTATGGTTAGGGTTAGGGTTGGAGCTAGGGTTAGGGTTAGGGTTAGGGTTGGAGTTAGGGTTAGTGTTGGAGCTAGGGTTAGGGTTGGGCTTGGAGCTAGGATTTTTCTGAGTGCACTGAACCAACTCCAGAGTCTCTAGGACATTCCTAAAAAAATTTGATTTTTTCCCATAGGAATGCATGGGTTAGGGTTAGGGTTAGGGTTGGAGCTAGGGTTAGGGTTAGGGTTAGGGTTGGAGTTAGGGTTAGTGTTGGAGCTAGGGTTAGGGTTGGGCTTGGAGCTAGGATTTTTCTGAGTGCACTGAACCAACTCTTTAGTCTCTAGGACATTCCTAAAAAAAATTGATTTTTTTCCCATAGGAATGCATGGGTTAGGGTTATGGTTAGGGTTAGGGTTGGAGCTAGGGTTAGGGTTAGGGTTAGGGTTGGAGTTAGGGTTAGTGTTGGATCTAGGGTTAGGGTTGGGCTTGGAGCTAGGATTTTTCTGAGTGCACTGAACCAACTCCCGAGTCTCTAGGACATTCCTAAAAAAATTTGATTTTTTCCCATAGGAATGCATGGGTTAGGTTTATGGTTAGGGTTAGGGTTAGAGCTAGGGTTAGGGTTAGGGTTAGGGTTGGAGTTGGGGTTAGTGTTGGAGCTAGGGTTAGGGGTGGGCTTGGAGCTAGGATTTTTCTGAGTGCAATGAACCAACTCCCGAGTCTCTAGGACGTTCCTAAAAAAATTTGATTTTTTCCCAGAGGAATGCATGGGTTAGGGTTAGGGTTAGGGTTGGAGCTAGGGTTAGGGTTAGGGTTAGGGTTGGAGTTAGGGTTAGTGTTGGAGCTAGGGTTAGGGTTGGGCTTGGAGCTAGGATTTTTCTGAGTGCACTGAACCAACTCCCGAGTCTCTAGGACATTCCTAAAAAAATTTGATTTTTTCCCATAGGAATGCATGGGTTAGGGTTATGGTTAGGGTTACGGTTGGAGCTAGGGTTAGGGTTAGGGTTAGGGTTGGAGTTAGGGTTAGTGTTGGAGCTAGGGTTAGGGTTGGGCTTGGAGCTAGGATTTTTCTGAGTGCAATGAACCAACTCCCGAGTCTCTAGGACGTTCCTAAAAAAATTTGATTTTTTTCCCATAGGAATGCATGGGTTAGGGTTAGGGTTAGGGTTGGAGCTAGGGTTAGGGTTAGGGTTGGAGTTAGGGTTAGTGTTGGAGCTAGGGTTAGGGTTGGGCTTGGAGCTAGGATTTTTCTGAGTGCAATGAACCAACTCCCGAGTCTCTAGGACGTTCCTAAAAAAAATTGATTTTTTTCCCATAGGAATGCATGGGTTAGGGTTAGGGTTAGGGTTGGAGCTAGGGTTAGGGTTAGGGTTAGGGTTGGAGTTAGGGTTAGTGTTGGAGCTAGGGTTAGGGTTGGGCTTGGAGCTAGGATTTTTCTGAGTGCAATGAACCAACTCCCGAGTCTCTAGGACGTTCCTAAAAAAATTTGATTTTTTCCCATAGGAATGCATGGGTTAGGGTTATGGTTAGGGTTAGGGTTGGAGCTAGGGTTAGGGTTAGGGTTAGGGTTGGAGTTAGGGTTAGTGTTGGAGCTAGGGTTAGGGTTGGGCTTGGAGTTAGGATTTTTCTGAGTGCAATGAACCAACTCCCGAGTCTCTAGGACGTTCCTAAAAAAATTTGATTTTTTCAGATAGGAATGCATGGGTTAGGGTTAGGGTTAGGGTTGGAGCTAGGGTTAGGGTTAGGGTTAGGGTTGGAGTTAGGGTTAGTGTTGGAGCTAGGGTTAGGGTTGGGCTTGGAGCTAGGATTTTTGTGAGTGCAATGAACCAACTCCCGAGTCTCTAGGACGTTCCTAAAAAAATTTGATTTTTTCCCATAGGAATGCATGGGTTAGGGTTAGGGTTAGGGTTGGAGCTAGGGTTAGGGTTATGGTTAGGGTTGGAGTTAGGGTTAGTGTTGGAGCTAGGGTTAGGGTTGGGCTTGGAGCTAGGATTTGTCTGAGTGCACTGAACCAACTCCCGAGTCTCTAGGACGTTCCTAAAAAAATTTGATTTTTTCCCATAGGAATGCATGGGTTAGGGTTATGTTTAGGGTTAGGGTTGGAGCTAGGGTTAGGGTTAGGGTTAGGGTTGGAGTTAGGGTTAGTGTTGGAGCTAGGGTTAGGGTTGGGCTTGGAGTTAGGATTTTTCTGAGTGCAATGAACCAACTCCCGAGTCTCTAGGACGTTCCTAAAAAAATTTGATTTTTTTCCCATAGGAATGCATGGGTTAGGGTTAGGGTTAGGGTTGGAGCTAGGGTTAGGGTTAGGGTTGGAGTTAGGGTTAGTGTTGGAGCTAGGGTTAGGGTTGGGTCTTGGAGCTAGGATTTTTCTGAGTGCACTGAACCAACTCCCGAGTCTCTAGGACATTCCTAAAAAAATTTGATTTTTTCCCATAGGAATGCATGGGTTAGGGTTATGGTTAGGGTTAGGGTTGGAGCTAGGGTTAGGGTTAGGGTTAGGGTTGGAGTTAGGGTTAGTGTTGGAGCTAGGGTTAGGGTTGGGCTTGGAGCTAGGATTTTTCTGAGTGCAATGAACCAACTCCGGAGTCTCTAGGACGTTCCTAAAAAAAATTGATTTTTTCCCATAGGAATGCATGGGTTAGGGTTAGGGTTAGGGTTGGAGCTAGGGTTAGGGTTAAGGTTAGGGTTGGAGTTAGGGTTAGTGTTGGAGCTAGGGTTAGGGTTGGGCTTGGAGCTAGGATTTGTCTGAGTGCACTGAACCAACTCCCGAGTCTCTAGGACGTTCCTAAAAAAATTTGATTTTTTCCCATAGGAATGCATGGGTTAGGGTTAGGGTTAGGGTTGGAGCTAGGGTTAGGGTTAGGGTTAGGGTTAGGGTTGGAGTTAGGGTTAGTGTTGGAGCTAGGGTTAGGGTTGGGCTTGGAGCTAGGATTTGTCTGAGTGCACTGAACCAACTCCCGAGTCTCTAGGACATTCCTAAAAAAAATTGATTTTTTCCCATAGGAATGCATGGGTTAGGGTTATAGTTAGGGTTAGGGTTGGAGCTAGGGTTAGGGTTATGGTTAGGGTTGGAGTTAGGGTTAGTGTTGGAGCTAGGGTTAGGGTTGGGCTTGGAGCTAGGATTTTTCTGAGTGCAATGAACCAACTCCCGAGTCTCTAGGACGTTCCTAAAAAAATTTGATTTTTTCCCATAGGAATGCATGGGTTAGGGTTAGGGTTAGGGTTGGAGCTAGGGTTAGGGTTAGGGTTGGAGTTAGGGTTAGTGTTGGAGCTAGGGTTAGGGTTGGGTCTTGGAGCTAGGATTTTTCTGAGTGCACTGAACCAACTCCCGAGTCTCTAGGACATTCCTAAAAAAATTTGATTTTTTCCCATAGGAATGCATGGGTTAGGGTTATGGTTAGGGTTAGGGTTGGAGCTAGGGTTAGGGTTAGGGTTAGGGTTGGAGTTAGGGTTAGTGTTGGAGCTAGGGTTAGGGTTGGGCTTGGAGCTAGGATTTTTCTGAGTGCAATGAACCAACTCCGGAGTCTCTAGGACGTTCCTAAAAAAATTTGATTTTTTCCCATAGGAATGCATGGGTTAGGGTTAGGGTTAGGGTTGGAGCTAGGGTTAGGGTTAGGGTTAAGGTTGGAGCTAGGGTTAGGGTTAGGGTTAGGGTTAGGGTTGGAGCTAGGGTTAGGGTTAGGGTTAGAGCTAGGGTTAGGGTTAGGGTTGGGGCTAGGGTTAGTGTTAGGGTTAGGGTTAAAGCTTCTGAGAGGAACTTTTGATTTGTGTCAATTTTGGCGCCCCTTGTGGACAAAGCAGTCTTTGAAAAAAAAAAAAAACCTTCAAAACACTTTGTGTGGCTAATCATTGACTAAATTCACAAATTTGTTCTCCTAACATGACGGTTTAAATCTCATTATGTAAAAAAACAATAAGAAAATGATTTTACTATGACTTTATTTATCAGAGAAATGACCTAATTGTTCTATCTTACAATAAAAGAGATACAAGTATAAAAGAAAAGAAAATGAAACATAACAGAAAACAATAAATCAGTCAAACAAAATAAAAAAAATACCAACATAAGACTAAATAAGATAAGATAAAATTGAATAAATTATTATCATAAAAATAAAACGCAACTATATAAAATATATAAAAAATGAAATAAACATCTCAGAGAACAGCTTTGCAGTGATTTAGGGTTAGGGTTGGGCTTGGAGCTAGGATTTTTCTGAGTGCACTGAACCAACTCCCGAGTCTCTAGGACATTCCTAAAAAAAATTGATTTTTTTCCCATAGGAATGCATGGGTTAGGGTTATGGTTAGGGTTAGGGTTGGAGCTAGGGTTAGGGTTAGGGTTAGGGTTGGAGTTAGGGTTAGTGTTGGAGCTAGGGTTAGGGTTGGGCTTGGAGCTAGGATTTGTCTGAGTGCACTGAACCAACTCCCGAGTCTCTAGGACGTTCCTAAAAAAATTTGATTTTTTCCCATAGGAATGCATGGGTTAGGGTTAGGGTTAGGGTTGGAGCTAGGGTTAGGGTTAGGGTTAGGGTTAGGGTTGGAGTTAGGGTTAGTGTTGGAGCTAGGGTTAGGGTTGGGCTTGGAGCTAGGATTTGTCTGAGTGCACTGAACCAACTCCCGAGTCTCTAGGACATTCCTAAAAAAAATTGATTTTTTCCCATAGGAATGCATGGGTTAGGGTTATAGTTAGGGTTAGGGTTGGAGCTAGGGTTAGGGTTATGGTTAGGGTTGGAGTTAGGGTTAGTGTTGGAGCTAGGGTTAGGGTTGGGCTTGGAGCTAGGATTTTTCTGAGTGCAATGAACCAACTCCCGAGTCTCTAGGACGTTCCTAAAAAAATTTGATTTTTTCCCATAGGAATGCATGGGTTAGGGTTAGGGTTAGGGTTGGAGCTAGGGTTAGGGTTAGGGTTGGAGTTAGGGTTAGTGTTGGAGCTAGGGTTAGGGTTGGGTCTTGGAGCTAGGATTTTTCTGAGTGCACTGAACCAACTCCCGAGTCTCTAGGACATTCCTAAAAAAATTTGATTTTTTCCCATAGGAATGCATGGGTTAGGGTTATGGTTAGGGTTAGGGTTGGAGCTAGGGTTAGGGTTAGGGTTAGGGTTGGAGTAAGGGTTAGTGTTGGAGCTAGGGTTAGGGTTGGGCTTGGAGCTAGGATTTTTCTGAGTGCAATGAACCAACTCCGGAGTCTCTAGGACGTTCCTAAAAAAATTTGATTTTTTCCCATAGGAATGCATGGGTTAGGGTTAGGGTTAGGGTTGGAGCTAGGGTTAGGGTTAGGGTTAAGGTTGGAGCTAGGGTTAGGGTTAGGGTTAGGGTTAGGGTTGGAGCTAGGGTTAGGGTTAGGGTTAGAGCTAGGGTTAGGGTTAGGGTTGGGGCTAGGGTTAGTGTTAGGGTTAGGGTTAAAGCTTCTGAGAGGAACTTTTGATTTGTGTCAATTTTGGCGCCCCTTGTGGACAAAGCAGTCTTTGAAAAAAAAAAAAAACCTTCAAAACACTTTGTGTGGCTAATCATTGACTAAATTCACAAATTTGTTCTCCTAACATGACGGTTTAAATCTCATTATGTAAAAAAACAATAAGAAAATGATTTTACTATGACTTTATTTATCAGAGAAATGACCTAATTGTTCTATCTTACAATAAAAGAGATACAAGTATAAAAGAAAAGAAAATGAAACATAACAGAAAACAATAAATCAGTCAAACAAAATAAAAAAAAATACCAACATAAGACTAAATAAGATAAGATAAAATTGAATAAATTATTATCATAAAAATAAAACGCAACTATATAAAATATATAAAAAATGAAATAAACATCTCAGAGAACAGCTTTGCAGTGATTTACAACAGGTTAATAACATACTGGGGATGAAAAAGGACATTCATAGAGGCTGAGTCTCTGAGAAGGAAAGATGGGGAGAGGTTCACCACTCTATGAGAGACTGCATGACTAAATAGTTGAACAGTTGTTGATTTCATAAACTACACTTGATCAGTAAAAGATTCATAAATCTCCTCACAAAAGGGACAATGTAGAAAACATGGCTGTGATCTTAACTGAAAACAGACATGACTCTGTGGTGGAAATCACTGCATGGGCTCAAAATCACTTCCAGAAATCATTACCTGTGAGCACAGATCACATAACATCCACAAAGAGGTAAAAAATGTATCATGTGAAGAGAAAACCAAACATAAACATGACCCCAAAACTAGAAAGAGTTACACCTTCAAACAGAGTCAGTGATGTTTGTGGCATCTCTTATAACTGGTGCCTTTAAATGGATGAAAGAGGATGAGACTGGGAACATCATCTTCCTTTTCTGAGGTCTTCTGCTGAAATTGCACTCCAGTAGTTACATAACGACATCCATTGAGGCTGTAACAAATCGGGTTAATTTTGGGAATGGCTAAGAAAAATTAGAGCTGCATGGGGAGAAACTTGAGGACTTCTGTTTTTAGCTTTCTTATGGACTCTACATGAAAGAAGAATAATAAGTTAGGGTTTGGTTCCTCTATAGACTTGTTAGGTTTTCTCTGTGAAATTTTCTTTAATTGGTATTTTTGGGAGGTTTGGGGGATTTTCCCATCCACAACCAGTAGACATTGATTCCTCCCAAGGCTTTGGACATTTTTCACTTTTCATTTGAGGTTTTTATACTCAGAAGTGAAAACCTTGTGCATCCCTATATTATTAAACTTCTGGATTCATTATTATTTTCCTTCAATAATTCATTCTTTTCTTTCTCTATTTTCTCCTCTTTGGCAGTATTTCTTCCACTCTTTATCTTTCTCTGCCATCCATGATTCGCAGCCTCGTGCCACCAAAGTAAGTTTCTTAATGCCCACTCTCAGATCACCCAATTCCCCTGTCTGACCTTGCATTACCCACAATGCTGCGGGTCATCGGCCGTGTGCTCACCTAATTCCACAAATTGTGGCCAGGGCTCCTGTTCTGTTGAGCCCAGCACTTTAGTTTCCATTTTTAGCGCTGCAGCTTTTCAGGGTTCTTATCATTATTTTCCCTAATAGGCTGAAGGAGGGAAGGTGAGTTTCAGCCTGGCCGAGCTCCTAATGACGGCACCACCACACCCTTATAATGGGTATTAAAGCACAATCATATTAAGGTGTCCAGAGTAAAGTGAGTGTCACATGGGGCAGTATTTCTTCCTGCCTGTGAGCTTCATGTTTGAGGAGGCGAGCACTCTGCTGACAACGCTAAACACACACCTTGTCCAAAGGTAGTTTAGCAGAGTGTCCTCACAGGACATTCATCCTTTTCTCCCAACATAATCAGTGAATAGTTTAATGCATGAAATATAACAAGCTGTCATTATTGTTTAAATCACCTACCAACACTGCGAGTTCACTGGTACTGAAATGAAGTCTTTATGGTGTTACGTTCAAAAGTTATGGGCAATTTAAAAAATCCCTATTCAAGTCAATGGGATTGTCCGGGGCTGCTGCCCTCTATCGCAAGATCAGACACAATTTTTTTTAAGTGTTTAGGGTTAGGTTAAGGGTAGGGGTTAGGGGTTAAGGTTAAAATCACTGTCCATAAAAATTTCAAAAAGTAGTATGGTAAAAATTTCATATTTAAGTATGAAAAAAATGTCACAGTATAGCATGAAAACAAGTCAAATTTTAGTGTGAAAAAATCATATTTTAGTTTTAAAAAATGTCATCGTAAAGAATAAATAAAAAATGTCATAATATAGTATGAAAGTTAATTTAATGTTGAAGAATTAAAAAGAAATATATTTTAGTATGAAAATAAAAATGCCAGTAAAGTGTGACAAAAAATCTTTAATTTTGAAAGTGATAAATTATATTTAACAATAAAAAAGGCATTGTGTATGATAAAAACTTTTCATAGTATAGCATAAAAAATTATATTTTAAAGTGAAAAAAAACTATTTTAGTGTGAAAAATGGTCATAGTCCAGAATGAAAAAACGTTTAATTTTTAGTGTAAAAAAAATGAAATTAAATATGAGAAAAAAATGTCCAAGTGTAGTGTTTCAGAAAATTACTTATCTAAGAATAAAAAAATATATAGATTTTAGTATGAAATAATGACAGTAAAGTGTGCTAAAAAATTTAATTTTTAGTGTGAAAAAATATATTTTAGTATTAAAAAATGTCATCATGTAGTATGATAAAAATTTCTAATTTTAGTTTGAAAAAAAACATTTTAGTAAAAAAATGTCACAGTATAGTATGACAAAAATGTCAAAATGTAGTATGTTATTATTTTTTTATTTAAGCTTAAAAAAATCATATTTAAGTGTGAAAAAAATGTCAGTAAATCATGATAAAAAATTCAAATGAAAGTGCGAAAAAAGATTTATTTTAATTTGAGAAACAAATGTCACAGTGAAGTATAATAAAAAATTTCATAATATAGTTTGAAAAAAATGTCATAATGTAGTATGAAAGTAAATTTCACATTTAAGAATTAAAAGAAATACATTTTAGTATAAAAAAATGCCATTAAAGTGTGATAAAATTTTTTAATTTTTAATGTGAAAAATTATATTTAACAATAAAAAAGGCATTGTGTAGTATGATAAAAAAAAATTCAAATATTAGTGTGAAAACAGAAACATTTTAGTAAAAAAAAGTCATAAGATAGTATGATAAAATATCATAAAATAGTTTTAAAAAATGCCGTAGTCTAGAATGAGAATTTTCAGTGTGGAAAAAAAATGTTACAGTATAGTATGACAAAAATCTCAAAATGAAGCATGTAAAAAATTTCATATTTAGCTGTGAGAAAAATGTCATATTTTAGCATGAAAAAAAATCTTATTTTAGTATAAAAATTTCATGTTTAAGAAATACATTTGAGTATGACAAAAATGCCAGTTAAGTGTGATAAAAAAAATTAAAGTGAAAAATTCTATATACCTATGATATAAATGTCAAATTTTAGTGTGAAAGAAAATTAAATTTTAGTAAAAAAAAATGTTATAAAAAAGTATGATACAAATGTCATAGAAGAGTATTATAAAAATGTCATAGTTTAGTATGTTAAAAACTTCGAATTTAAGTTAGAAAAAATAATGTAACAGTATAGTATGAAAATCTAAAAATGTAGTATGTAAAAAATTCTATATTGAAGTATGAAAGAAATTGTCATAGTAAAGTTTAAAGAAAATCATGTTTTATTGTGAAAAAATCATATTTTAGTGTGAAAAAAATCTCATAGCACAGAATATTTAAAAAAAAAAGGATATTAATGTGAGAAAAATGTCCTAGTGTAGTATGTCAGAAAATTTCATATTCAAACAAAACTTATCATAGTATAGTATAAAAGAAATTTATATTTTAAAGTGAAAAAAAATTATTTTAGTGTGAAAAAAATGTCAAAGTGCAGAATGAAAAAAACTTAAATTTTTAGTGTTAAAAAAATGAAATTTAATGTGAGAAAAAATGTCAAAGTGTAGTGTGTCAGAAAATTTCGTTATTAAGAATTTAAAAAAAAATTACATTTCAGTATGAAAAAAAGCCAGTAAAGTGTGATAAAAATGTTTTATTTTCAGTGTGAAAAAAATTATATTTTAATAAAAACAAATATCATCGTGTATGTAACGGCCCTAAACATTTTGCAACTCTTGCAGGCGGAGCTTGTCCATGTATATTTTAGTGCGTCGACTCTGGCTTGTGATTGGCTCCAGCCGAAGGGGACGTGGCCTCTGGCAGCACTCCGCATGATGATTGGCGTTGTCCTACCTCTGTTCACCAATCGCGGGGATGCAGCTGGATGCTGAGGCTACGTGAGCTCCACCAGCGTGGCAGTCGGGGCGGCTGCCTAAGAGACACTCAGCTTACCATGTGGCTCTCGATATTGTAACTTGTTAGGCTAAAATGAGGCACAAGACTCTGTAAATGAGACAGGGCCAGTTTCAAAAACTGATACAGTTCAGCAAACATTGGCAGGTTGGACTTTGTATTAGGGTACACTAGGTATACGGGGTGCTGACTCCCCCTTGGTTCTGGTAAAATGAATTAGAGTCTTAAGTTTTGACATCTCCTTTATTTTCGGGATAATTGTTGGCTCCTCTTTAGTGAGTCCTCCTTTTCTTACCTTTTTTCTCTTTGTGTTGAGCAGCACCCACTGGCCTCTGTCTCTTAGGTTATGTTTTCGTAGTGTTTTTGTATTATTTATCAATTAATCATTGTGCCAATAAAATAACTAATAATAATAATAAGGGAAAAAACTTCATATTTTAGTATGCAAAAAATGTCAGAGTATATTATGGTAAAAATGTTAAAGTATAAAACCATAAAAAAATTTATATTTCAGAATGAAAAAAAAATCATACTCAAGCATGAAAAATAATAATATTAGGTATGAAAAAAAATTTAAATTTCAGTATTAGAAAAATTTTATATTCTAGTACTGAAAACAAAAATGTCATAGTATAGTATGAAGAAAATGTCTTTTAAAAGTATGATCAAAATATCACATTATTGTATGAAAGAAAAATGTCATAGTATAGTATGGTAAAAATTTTAATTTTAACATACACACACACACACAAGCATCATAGTTTAGCAGAAAAAAAATGAAATAAAATAGATTTATAAAACATGTCAGTATATGATGTTGAAACTTCCAAATTTTAGTATTAAAAAACTTATAGTATGTTAAAAATATCCCAGTATAGTATGAAAAAAGAAATCAAAGTGTAATATGATAAAATTTTTACATTAAGTAATGAAAAAATGTCATAGTATAGTATGTTAAAAAATGTTACAGTTTATTTAAAAAAAAACATATATTAGTATGATAAAAAATGTAAATTTTTTTGATAAAATTGTCATAGTGTAGTTTGATAAAGATTCACATTTTCAGATGAAAAAAATGTCAGCATAGTTTGATAAAATATTTTACATTTTTGTATTAAAAAATGCCATGGTATTCTATGATAAAAATGTCAAATTTTAGTATAAAAAAAGTCAGCATTGTATGTTAAAAAATACAGTTTAGTATTATAAAAATGTCATTTTATTGTGTGAAAATAAATCACGGTTAAGTATGATAAAAATACTATAGTACAGTAAGTTAAAATATCCTAGTATAGTATGATATAAATCTTATATAATAGTATGAAAAAAAAGTCATAGTATAGGTTGTTATAAAAATTATAGTTAACTGTGATAAGAAATGTCATAGTATTTTAAGATAAAATGTCATCGTATAGTATGATAAAATAAATTATGAAAAAATATAGAATTGTTTGTGAAAAATTCCATAGCATAGTTTGTTGAAAATGTCACAGTAAATTATGAAAAAAATGTCATAGTAGCCCACAGTGACATCTTTCCTGCAGCTTTGGCACTCTGCTGCAGTCTCACCTTGAATGACGGCCCTGCAGGTTCAGTGATTTGTTATTTTCCTCCTGTGTTAGGGACACTCCTTTCCTTCATGTCCATAATTGACTGTGATTTATTGCAGTTTGTCTCCCTCTTGTGAACAGTACAGGCTATTACAGCATGTTATGACTCAATGTTTTACAAGGAGAGAGAGAGAGAAAGATGAAGAGAAAGAGAGGGAGAACTACTTCACAAAGCAGAAGGAGCCCAAAACCTAAATGAGTTCTTTTCTGATCCTCTTTGCATCAAGAATAAGAAATGAAAGATCACCATACTTGAGGAAGTATTTCCCGATGTTCTTTTTTAAATCCACTCAGCATTCACTCTGAGTCTAAAGTAAAACTCTTCAGAGCGATGTGAGTGAATTTGGCTGCAGATGGCACTTAGCCGGACGAAGCGCTGTGGCGTTAGCAGCAGATGGTGAAGTGCTGAGCTGATGGATGCTCCGTCTAAAGCTCCAGACAAGAAGCCTGCTGCTCCTCCTCTGTCTGAGTTACTCTCCCAAACATCCACACAAAAACACACACTCATGCATAGATTATTTAAGTACTGCAGTTAGGAAAACATGGTGTGTTTTATGCTGCTGGAAAAGGTTCATAAATTGGACTTGTGTTAGTCTTTGTAACAGTATGACAGGTCAGAGTCTGATGGGTTTTAAAGGTTTCTTTTGACATAATATAGAACCAAATCTAAAATCTTCCCAACATGGCAGAGTTTGAAATCCTGATTGAAAACATGACCCTGAATCCTAATTAATGTCAAATACCATTCAGAGTCAAAATTATTGCTATAGCTAAGGTGCGTGACATCATATCATGCATCGATATAACACACCGACTCATGTAGCATCATAATATAACATTGCTTCTGTGCACAATTTAAAAAATATTTAAGACTCTCTGCATCTTTTAAGGCCTGTTTTAGGAAACCAAGTTCCGTGTTTTCAAATAATATAGGTACACAAAAGCCAGTGGTACCCTCTTGTAGCGCTAAAACAATAAACCCAGAGGACACAGTGAAGGAAAATGCAGCAAATCCATATGCAAGTCCCATATACAGGTACTACGCTTAAAACATTTTCACTTCCAGCCTGTGAGACTTTTACCCCATGCCGCTCGCCACTTTCTTTCCCTATTTCCTTCACTGTCTACTTTCCCATCCTCTCCAAATAAAGGCAAATGCCCAAAAATGCAGATTCAGCTGCCTGTCAAGATTCATATCGAATCCCTTGGTATAGCTAGTTGCCTTTTAAAACAATTACTCAATTAGAGTCACTGTTTTTGCAAGATTGTTTGCTTGGCCCCCCACATCACGAACACTTAGTCCTTCAAGTATTTCGCTGAGCGCCCTCCACAGTCCTGGAGCACTTCTGTTGCCCTGTTTTGATTTTTCTGCATGGTATTTCTGGATTTGATTTATTTGTATTTTTGATTTGCATTTGCAGTTACAATTTTTCTTACCCAATTTGTTGTTGACTTAAGCAGATGTTTAGGAACTTGCAGCACAAATCCCCCCCCAGAAAAGATTGTTTTTGCCGATCAGTTGACCTTGTTGGCTGCTGTAAACTTCAGCTTTAGTTTATATTCAAAACCACTATCACAAGGTTTTTTGAATCACTTTTCTTATAATTTAGTCTGTGTAGCAGTTTAATGAATGGGAACCTTTTACCTGTTTAGTCTGTGATGTGAGAAAGCTAAATGCATGTAAAAATCATTCGGTTGAGGAGTGGTGGAGACGGCATTTAACCCAACAACATGCTTTACTGTGATGGTGCATGTTGAGTATGCAGGAAAAAAGCTCTCTTTATGAATACTTACTGAATATCTATCTTTTAAATTCAGAGTAGTTACAATGACTTAAACACACTGGAATGAGCATAAATTTGCTGCATATAAATGAGTGTATAGAACAGATAAAAGTATGTGGAATCAGACGCATGAATGTTTCGTAAACTTACATCTGACTAAAAACAGGAGGAGACAAAACCTGTGTTCCTACTGTCAGCTGAGATGAATTGTTGCCATATAAACACCGGACTAAACTGTAAATGTAAGTGTGTCATCGGCTGCCCTGGATTCACTTGTTGTTCGGCTCATCAATCTTTGTTAATTTCATTTGCCCACCAAATTTACACAAGGGAATCCTGTCGTTGCAGAATTGATAGCGGCCACAAATATTTGAGCCGTGTTTTCCTTTGACACGGACACACGCTCCGTTTTGTCAGCTCCCCTCTGCTACATGTACTGTGACGTGATATATCGGCTCTTTTAGCCCCTGCTTTGGCTCAAATCCAAGGCCCATTTGTACAGATGGGGTTTTACGTGGGGCCATTTTAGCAAAGCACCCTCCCCATAAAGCCAAAGTGTCTCATCGCTTCATAATTGTGTGATTATGGTCGATTGCTGTAGTTGGGTTGACAGATTCTGCTGAAGCCCAACAGATGCTTTTATCATATTTTAGATCCTCATTTGACCTTAATCAAGCGTTGCATGTATGAATAAAAGGAGGAGATAATATTTCACTCAGGAGGAGGATCAGGTGTCTGACAGAGGAGATGCTGAGCTTGAGAAGGAAGATGAAATACTTACTCAGAGCCTCTGAGGCCTCCAGCAGAAATAGAGGAGATGCATAGTGCCACCAAGTGGGAACTAGATGAAGTTACACCATTTTAAAAAAGGAACCATCTGCTGAGACACACAGAGTATTTCTGAACCAGAAGAAAAGGTCTCTGTTGATTGAAAATTTCCGGTTTCAGGATGTAAACTTGCAGCTGTCTTTTTGAGAATCGTCTAAGTTCTTGTTAAAATGTTCCACTAAAGGTCTGTTTTGGTTCCCTTTATGTGTTCATTCAGAAGTCACTTTAAGCAAATGTTACAGAGTTAACACATTATCATCTGGACTAACATGACAACTCAAATGTAGCTTTTTTCTTCTCTTTCTTGAGTGAAAAATGAAGAAGCATTTTTGGATGTACCGCCCCGTACTTTGATAAATATGAAAGTGTTAACTGAGCTGGGTGTGCAAAGGTTTTTGTGTTAGTTTTTTGTATTCAGCACAAAGTCTGAACTTTGTTTCTTTTCCATTTCAATCCTGATGGTGATCACTCAGTCTCAGTGATGAAAGAAAGAGGTAAGAGTCTGATTTAGATGTTTTTGAGTGTAAGCCCTGAGCTGTGAAACAATCCAAACTGTAAGAAAAAGGATGCATGGAGTGTTCACATACTGCATCGACCACGTCGAGCGCATTCTGATGTGACACAAAAAAACAACAACAGTGTTGTTTCGGCGTGTCAATTTTTCTTCTCTGCTTTTTTGGAAGGCTGTGACAAAAAATCCCATCTCCCATTGTTTGGAGAGGCTCAAAGGATTAAACAAAGTCAACAGTGATGGAAAGGCACTGATCTTTTGAAGTATTTACATTTGTGTTTTTCTGCTTCTCCTCTATCCCCCTGAAGGCGTGCGTCTATATTTCTCCTCTCTCCGCCTCTCGCTCAGAGTTTGTCTTCGCTCCGCTTAGGTAAATGGCGGCCTCGGCGACAGACAGGTGCTCTCCATCTTGTAAATCCGGAGGGGGTTTGGCATAAGACAAATGGGTCTGGGAGAAGCATCCTGCCCCGTTCCACCTGGCTCATCCCATACTGTGCTGCAGTGATGTTGTGTCATGGGATTTGTAGTCCCGAAAGCAGGCAGCAGCTCATCACTCATCACAAAACAGCGCTGAGACACGGAGGCTGAAGTAGACAAGTTTATTAATGATAATAATGAGGATGATGAGGATGATGATAATATTAATAATTAGTCATAATTATAATAACGTTAATGTCATAATAAATAGAACTCTTCATCTGAAGCACGTAAAGAGAAGCATACAGAAAGAGAAAAAACAAAAACACAAAGTTTAGAGTACAGAGCCAGAGGAGGGGGGCAGGGACTTCTAGAGACATTTTTAACCTTTCAATATATCCATTTAATTTTTTAACATTTTTAAACTTTATTTAACTGGAACATTTACAAAAAGGAGAAAGAGATAGATTTTAAAAAATCCTTATAAATAAATTTGTCATTATTAGAACAAAATACAATATTTTGGGGAGTCAGAGGATGTAGTTTTTTTCTTTTGCCCCCTGAAAGGACAGGATGGGGGAGGAGGACAGATGGGTGAGGGGGAGAGAGAGGAGGAGAGGGTTAGTTATGTACAGAACACCAGGAATACAAAAGGGGCCGGTCGACTCACACACTAGAAGGCAAAGAGGGAGGGTTAGGATGGGGGAGGAGGATGAGGGTGGTCAGGGGACTCTCAGAGGGGGGGACATCCTGCAAGTGTCACAGCTCAAGCAGTTGTGCTCAGGAAGATCAGGACCAGTTCATTACACTGAAGGCATCAGAAGGAAGGAAGGAAAGGAGGGAGGAAGGGAGGAAGGAAGCTGTAACCTTGCTCCCTGCTCCGTCCCGCTGCTGAGGAGCGAGCTGGAGCGTCAGACGGTTTCTGTGCAGGCAGAGTGTCTCCGGCAGCAGAGGCAAACTCAACAGCTTGAGAGCAGAGACAAAGAGCCACAGTTTTGTAGGAATAAAAAACTACCTGGAAGAACGAAGGGAGGTGAAAAATCAACTCAAACAAAAGAGGAAAACTCTGCATCCACGCCTTACCTCTGATACTGGCAGATACTTAAATGGGCGACAAATCGTGTGTGGCTAAAGCTAAATGTTTGCTCATTGACTACAAATTCCATGATGCTTATGAGAGACACCTGCATCACAGAATTATGAGTTAACTTTATTTTCCTTTTATACAAAAATCAAGCACTGCAAGAAGAGCAATGTAAACTGAAGCCAAAGCTAACATAAAGTAGGTGCTTTTTGTAGCTTTTGTACTCCACCCTCTGCCTTTCAGTACAACCTGAATGAACATTTTAAAACAAGAGCAACACAGTGTGCAATTAAAATATGTGATTAAAATTGTGAAACTATTTCAGTTAAGTTGTATCTAAGTGCAACAACTAAATACTAAATTGGTTTGTTTGAAATGTTACTTAAATATTTGTTATATAAAGTAAAAGAAGTCAGTAAAGCTTTGCACAGAACTTAAACATCAACCTTAAACTTTAAGTTCTACTTTTAAGTTCCACTTTGAACCAACTATAGCTTTAGGAATAATCTTGTTTAGTCTACTAAAAGATTAAAGTTGTCAGAATTACTAGTCTAGTAAATAATAATATATAATTTTTTAAGCTTTAAGTGTCTATCATATGCTGTGTCTCAGCTATAGCGTAGCCATCTGAGACTAGCCAGGGTTGTAACTTTGAATAATAGCGACTGCCATGGCACAACAATGTTCGATTATCCAGATTCGATTTAAACAAGCACTGATGACAGATCTTGTAGCGCAGTATGGTTTGGCAGTATTACAATCTAGAAAAATAGAGACAAAGTTGCATTCAGGCTATTTCTGGTTCACTCAGCCAGAGTGAGGTGAAACCAGTGCAGGCACATGGACAATAACCTGTAGGGAGGACTGAAGGCTGGTGGTGCTAACTCTGCTACTGGTAAACCAACCAGTTTTCCCACAGAGTTTGTGGCTCCATGTTTATAAATTTTAAATTAGGCTCAATTTTTACAGTTTTCCACGCTTTTTTCTTACCTATGTATGAGACGACGAGTTATGATTCAAAATTTTGCTTTAAAAAACATGTAAAACTATTTAAGTTCAGGAATCAACGTTGACATCTTGTTTCACACGGAGTTCTTAAAGTTTTACATTTCAGTAACTTTTCAATCAAAAGTCACTCTAAACTGACTTTGACATTTTTAACGCCTGACATTTACCCCTTATTCTGCTATCCCTACTTAGGCCACTAGAGGTCAGTGCTTTACTTATAGCATGGGTATTGTTAGTGAGAAGCTCACAAACTGCATGGTCTCACTGGTTGCGAACAGTATAACATTACTTTTATGTTTTTGCATCAATATATCAACCAGAACTAAAAAAAAGAAAAATTATTTTCTGCAATTTAAATGTATTTTTATTAAGTATGTACTGAGACACAAGGACTTAATAAATATGTAAGTTCGTTCCAGCTCTGGATACTTTTTACAGACATAGGTGTATGAATATAAAGTTCTTTTTAATGATAGAAATGCCAATAATTGAATAATAATAATGCTCTCCTGTTGGATTATCTTATTTTGCTCGTTTGGTATTACGTATATTTTTTGCAGATTAAATGTGCATCTAGCAATTTTTTTTTTATCATCAGACTTAAAATAGTAAACCTAAACACTGCTCCTTTAAACTGCTACTATATGTACCACCTCTACTAACAGTACTAATAACAGTGACAAAAATACACATTATAATCAGCTTACTCCAACTGTTGCTACTGCATGTGCTTTAGCAATAACAGGACTTAAAAAAAGAAAAAAAAAAAGACACATTATAAAGTGACTTCATACTTAAAAAATGGCGTCGGATCCCACCAGGTTGGTTTTACAAGGTTAAGCTAAAAGACTTTTTAAAAGGAAAAAATATGCAGAAATATAGCCAAAAAAACAAAAACAAACAAACAAAAAACCCAAAACAAAAAAAACCCCTAAAACTACAAACAAATGCCACCTTGTTGCACCGTTTATGTATTCCTTCAGTGCCATAACACACAGTGTACTTAAACAGCTAAGTTTGCTTTATCCTAAAAACCCTACTTCATCAGCTAATGCGTATCAATCCGCTGCTGAAAACAGTCCCAACAAATGCAAGAGCACTTGAAGTCTCCAGACGCACAAACATGTACTCCTGGGTTACTTCTTTAAAGATATTAGTCTTAAGTTGTAGCTTTTGTTTTCTGGTTGAAATGCAGAAAGAAATTGAGAGATAATTGGACCAACACTTATCAAGCTGTTGGTCTTATTATGGGTTAAATTCATAAGAAAACTACAAGATAACTCAAGCCTTATTGCCTATGATTTTACAAACTATTAGTTAATCAAAAACAGGAAGTAACAGTAGCTCAGCATGTGTGACATCATATCTGTTTTGGTTGTGAAGTGCATAGATAGTTCATTGGATGAAATCAGATCATGTGACCAAACTTATAAGCTCAAATCAAATCAAAACTGTGGCTTTTTATCTCTTGAACTGTTCAGCTTTCTCTCTCTCTCCTCCGGAGCAGCTCTGCCTCCCAGGAAGTTCCTGCCAAAGTAAAACTCCCGCCCGCTCCCGAGTCGTTTGTGACCCACCACAAGTCTGTAAGTAGGCCAGGTGAATCATGTGACTCTCAGAAACAAACCTACAGGTATAAAAATGCTAAGCCTGCATATGATCGCTGCATGGGAGAACAAATGACCGACTTTACCCCAATTAGACTTCACAACAGTTAGTTGCCATGATATAGATACTCTTTGTAATATATGAGAAGCTGTCTACAGATGAACAGAGGTCGCGTGGGTAGGAGCCCTGATTCAGAACATTTTTTTTAACCTGAAATAAGATGAAGTTACTCAAGAGTTGTGAGGTGAGATTTACTGTACAGGATATTAACAGTACACACTGTAGTTTTGTACAGGAAGTCAGGAGCTTACCGAGTGTTTCCCTCTTGGAGCAATTCACACAAAACCACTACCAGCTAAGTAGTGTACCCTGAACTCTCAAACAAAGTTGTGCTTCACCTGAACCTGCTCGCCCCTTATGAAAAAAAAAAAGTTTCTTTTCAGGGCCAGCAGGTTTTTTTCCAATATGCAATAAAAGCGCCCGCCCACCAGGGTCAGCGTGAGAACAGCAGTTCATAAAGCGAGGCTGCTGCAGGAAGCTTGGCTTCATCAGTGCGGCGCTCGTTAGATTAGAACAGCGAGCTCTTCCTCCTCAGCGGTGATGAGCGAATGAAATCTGGGTCACGTCAATACACATCCGGGCTCCGCCGTCATCACAGAGTCTCGCTGTCTCCTGATCAAAGAGCACTGAGACTGTGTGTTCAAATCATACTTTGGTTCAAGTAAGAAAAGAAAAATCAATATTCATAAACTTTTTATCTGACACCCACAACACCTTGCGCTAATTAGCGAGTCTTCCCAGCTCCAATGAGGGGCCGAATTACTGATTCTTTTCCTGAAGTGTCTGTGGGCTAAAAGGAGGAGGATGTTCTGCGTCTGATGGGGGGGATGTGTGTAAATCTGTGTGTGTTTGTCTGTGTGGTAAAGGGGGAGGGTCGGGGGGAGATCAGTTCACACTATCACCATCACACTTTCAATCATATAACACATGATCACATGTTACAGTAAATATCAGGGACATATTTAATTGGAGGGGGGGTCTGATATCTATGTTCGGGGGCCAGAGGCTTTCCTGCCCACCCCCTCTACTCCCTGACATCACCACAGCCCATATAATAGATATGTATATATATTTATATACAGAAAAAGAATACATACTTATTGGACACCCTAGACATTAATGTACATTCAAAGAACTGAACCAACATTCTTCTTTAAACACGTTTACAGTGACTCTCCTGATAGAAAGAATTTTTCGCTTCCACCAAATCAATTTTTTTTCCTCTTTAAAAGTTTTCAGTGCTGCAAAAAAACAAACTCAAACACACAAATAAATATTCTCAGAATACATTGACAAAAGAAATCAACATATTTCAGCCCTCGTTCCTTGTTACCGTTGGATGGGCACTACTGTATTTCTATAATGTTTTATCTAGCGACATAGTCTGTATGCCTCAGGCTTGTGTTTTGGTTATGCACCTGCTGATGTAGTACGATGGGATTATTCGATTATAATTCAATCTGTTACATGGACGTCGATGAGTTATTCTCGTCAGGGTGGAAACGTGCATCCTTGGTAGTCGTACGCACCTTGTTTTCACGTTGGTCTGAAAGTTCGTCCAGCGGTGCAGAGCAGAGTGACACAAAGGCTTGGGCTCGGAGTCTGGCAGGTGAGTAAAGTCGGCGACTTCTGCGCCATTTTTCTCTAACTAGTCCGTGGTCTTTGACCTCTGCTGGGGCGTGGAGAGGGGCAGACCGGGGAGGCTGGGCTGTTTACCGTCTCACCGCCCCGCCGTGGCTCACCCCCCCCACTCCCCAACGCTGTAAACCAGTGACGCTGCCCATTGGGGAGGGCGGGGATGCCCAATGGTGCTGCCAGGAGAAAGTGACATCAGGACAGTATCCACAAGGGACGCTGCTAACAGTAGGCGCTGCCGGTCGGTTACACCGCAACAAGGAGGGAAGGTGCGACATCACAGGCCCGAGAGGGAAGGAAGGAAGTAAGTGTGGAAGAGAGGAAGGAGGTTAGGTCAGGGGGGAGGTTGGAAGGAAGAAGGCGGAGCAGTGAGACCAGGAGGCTGACCTTTGACTCCACCCACAGGAAGTACAGCGTAGAAAGTGCGTCTGCCTGGATGCCGAGCTCTCCCTGCCACCGTTCTGTTCATGTTTTTTTTTTTTGTACACAACCTCGGCGACAGAGCAGTGTGCCATAGAGAGAGGAGGGGGAGCTCCTCCCTCCTCCTTCCTGCATACCACAGAATCAGCATCAAGGGCCAACTGTTCATCTCCCTTACCAAAAAACATAAAAACAGATTTGTACATATATACTGCTTTATACACACTTTTTACCATTGTAAATCACAAAAGTATAGAAAAATAAAATGTTTTATAATAACGGGACACTTTTCATTCTCTCTCTGTCTTTTTCTACCCGGCAAAAAGGTGGTCCCTGGTGGAAACTGGCTCACTCCGTCTGTCTGTCAAGTTTGTGGCTGGTTTGACACCGCTGCCGCGGCGCCACTTTGTACGCCTCCCGTCATTCCCTCGCCAGCCTCAGTAGAGGGACTCCTTCTCGTCTTCTTCTTGTGTTATTTTCTTAAAGCTAGTTCTCCTTTCTTCGTTGTTTTCATCTGTGATGTCCATCAATACTGAGTACAGCTCTTCTTTTTGTATTTACTGGAAACAGGGGGAGAAAAGTGGGGAGACTGGTAAATATGCAGAAGGTGATGTTTCTGATAGGCATACATAATGAGAGCTGCAACTCAGTGCAAGTTTCTGAACAAGTTTTCAGGAAGTACATCTTTGGAATAAAAAACATATAGGATAATGTATGAAATAAACAACACACTTTTCTTTTTTTTTTTAAACTTCCCGGCCTCAAAGTCTGCGACAAGAAGTTCACCCTGCATGGATGGAGTCAAACACAGCTACAGGAAAAAAAGATTTCAACTCAGTTGCAAAAGTTTGGGAGGAGAGAGACAACAGCTTCATTCAGTTTCATCCCTCCTCGTTCTTCTTGTGTAATGTGACACAACAGAAGCCGGAGCAGAGGCCTCATGCCTGCCAAAACCAGCGCCACCGCTCTCCCCAGAATAAAGATCAGAGCGAGCTGTAATCAGATGAGCCGAGATCGGCGCTTTGGCACTGCAAAGGGAGCAGTCTGGGTGTAATGGGGCTGGATGGATGCAAGAGAATAGAGGGTGGATGTCTGTGGGTGCGTGGGCGTCGGGGCGGACGAGGCGAGGAGAAGCAAGGCGAGCGTCCCGGGACCTTCGTCATGACAGATGCTGGCTAATTCAGAGCGATCTCCAGCAGCTCCACTGGCAAAAAATAAATAAATTAAGAAATGAAAGAAGATGAAGCTTTAATTCGCCTTTGTAGTGAGTTACTCTCCGCCCTCTCCACCCCCACCTACCATCCAATCCAGAGAGACAAACACTCAACCCAGTGGCGTGCTCAATCAGCGTCCCCTGTTCTCTAGCTGCCCTCAACACCTCCCCTCTCCATTCTTTACCTCAGATTTAGCGAGCCCTCACCAGGGACCCACCTTACAAAAATATCCACATGCTGCCTTATGGCTCAGCAGGGAGGCAGCACAATAGCGCTGCAGCTACATATAGTCCTCTCTGACAGGCAGCGCAGAGCTCAAAGGGCTGCAGAGACAAATATATTAATCACCCGTGGATGTGAAGGATTCAGGGGAGGGTTAGTTCAGGTGTTACAGTCTCTGCCTCTTTCAGTCACAGTTTGTTAAACAAGTCTGCCTTTACTAATTAAAAGTTGAGCTGATTAAAGGGCTGGGTCACCCACATACCAAGAGTGATGTTCTACTTAGGCTGGCCTCATACTGGATGATTTTAGGCCGGGTTTAAGGCCTGATTTGCCATCTCCAATGGCTTGATTCAGGGCTTGTTGTGAACGATAATTTGTTTGAATAATTCCTGAAGTATGTGGCATCAAAATCACAGTTTTACTGAACCTACTGAATCAAAGATTGACAATGTAGGAGCTGTTTATAAAGTATCTGTCGAGAGGCAAACATGTAAGTCTGTTACACCATTTTTGACCAGAGTATGGAGTTAAGTTTAATGCTGTACACAGTCTAAATGTTCGACCACAAACTGAACTGCTCCCACAGTTTAAGGTGGTACTGCAAAGTCGAGTCCATATCCGCAGGCTTACAGAGGATGTTGATCAGCTTCACCCCCTCTACTGGGAAACTACCAGGATGCAAGCTGGGTTACAGTTTTCAACAGATGGGGCTGATCCGGAGTGTTTGGTGCAAGAACAAATCAGCTCTGATGGCAAATACAGTAAACTGTAGCCTAGCTTGCATACAGTTTCTACAGGCAGTTTCTTACACAAACTGGTAACTCATACAACCTCACTTCAAAAATATCCCTTTCTCTCTCCTCAAACAAACTGAACAAGCTGTGTTTGACTCGTCCATCTCTAGCAACACCCACACAAAACCAACTTCATCACTGGACATCTATACTTGCCTCAGCCTTTTCTCTGTTCATAACCACTATGGCCACTAGGGGTCTCTCTTGCTAAAATTGTAAATATGCTATTTTTACTTTTTGGTTTGATATCATCGTTTCGAATTAAAATGTTTAAATTAAGAACACGCAGCCAGAATACTAGCACTGATTTCAAACGGTCAATTTCTACCTCACATCCCGCAGCATTTTCTTGTATTTCATATTTTTCTCTTGCTTTCTAAGTTTGAAATTTATACTGTTTTTCTGTTAGTCGTAAATCTTTAAATTGGGAAAGTTGTTTTTGTTACATTGCATTGAAGTCTCTCAAGGCCAAAATTCCATTATTTTGCAGCTATCTATAAAGCTAAACAGCACAGACAGAATGAGAAAAGTTTTAAGGTAAAAAAAAAAAAAAAAAAAGAGAAAGATTTGCTGAAGTTTCCCAAAAATGAAATAAAAATAACACACAACTTTTTTTTGGTGAGAAAAATATCAACATCCATGTGTGAAAACAGACATTATGTTCTTATAACTGCTTTATTCTGACACTCAAAACAATCAGAGGTTACTCATAAGTCACATACTGACAACAAAAGAAATTATGAATAAATAAACGTCATGATGTTCTACTTTAAACTATAAAATTAATCCAAAAGAAAATTACTTTACACCTTTCAGACAATATATTCTCAATATAGAAAGTACATACAATTCAAGAACAAGTTCAGCTGAATTGAAAATACACAGATAACCCCACTTCATATAGGAATACATATAAAACAGTTACTTAGAGAATTGCGATATAGTGTGTTTGTGAGTTTATATATACATTTAAATGTATTTACAGGAACTGTAACTTTTTTGCTTGGTTCTCTTTTGTACAAATCTTTTAAGTGTTTTAATAAATGCACCTGCCAGCTTGTCAGGGCTTACTGAATACTTGTATTAAATATAAATAATGGATAAAGACTATTTTCTGCAGATATGTAAACATTTCTCGGTACAGCTATTACAAACTAACAAATGTTTGAATCAGATAGAGGTCTGGTTGCATATTAAGCTGGTTATGGAATACAACAAAATGGAACTAAACAAATCAAATATTAAAGTGTCTCTTTTATAAATTCACATTTATATGACTTTTGACTCACTGTTAGCATGATGAAACTGCTCAGACCTCTACAATACTGACTACCGGTTATTTACAGTACATTTTATGTCTTTTACACTTGAGCCTTGATAAGCTGAAACAGTTAAACAATTCTGAACTTTTTCTGTAAACTCTAGACAATCCGTGCAGACTGGTCTCAGACCCGTCCCTGTAATAACATGACAGTAGAAAGAAAAGAAGAGTATGTGATGTGCAACCACCAATATATCTCTATTTATGTATATTTTTACATCACTTTTCCTCTCATTGATGTTAGACAATAAACCTAGAAATCTTAAACCCCCCAAAAGTGCAAATTTGGGGATTGAACCTATTTTTTTAGAGCTTGATGAGAAGGCGACAAACAATGATCATTTAAGGCGTCTGTTCTGACTGCAGTACTCCAAAATCCTGCAGACCAGATGACTGCCGATGCAAAATGTTTGAGTGTAACTGCTCTACAGTATCACTCTAAATAAATATGCTGCACCCACACCATGCAAATGTAAAAAGTATGAATACATAAACTACGCTTGAAGCACTTTTTCGTGCACAAAAACACAAATTCTGTCTGAGTTTAGTGATTTCTAAAGTCAGTTACAACCATTTAACGACACTGAGTGATCTGTTATATGACTTAAATATGTCCATGGCCATGTTATGTTATTGATTTATTGATTTCTGAATAGGAAAATGCTTATTTGTATTAGCTGCAAAATTAAAGCCGATAAAATGCATTTTGAAAACATTAGTTTTTGTCTAAAAAGTGGGCTGCATTTGGGATACACTGGTGTAGCTAATGCACTAATACACGATGCAGAGAGAGGTTTTGCTCCCAAATGATGGACCTGGACTAGCAAAATGTTTGACACAGACCAGGGTGCGTGTCCAGACAGGAAGCTGATCAGATTTCAAGAGAGGCCAGCGTCACCTCCAAATCCTCGACTTTTTGATTATTGGCGATTTGCCTCGTCAAAAGCAGGACTAATATTTGGGCTGTGATCCAACAAGCTGCTGGATGCTTTTCCCTGCAATCCAATTAAGTAGATCTCCTTTTTTGAGTGCTTAAAAGGATAACTTTGGAGACATCTGGTTGAGTCTTAGATCACCTTTTTGTTGTGTTACTTTTCAAGTTTAAAAACTTACAAATGGGACTTAATGATTATCAACGAGTGACAACATACTTTATGCCATTTTTGCACAACACAGGGCTGCAGTTGCGCCACCCAAATCATACAAATCTGGACACAACCCTGCTGCAGACATGTACAGTTGAGACTGCCAGTGCAGATGTTACCAACATTCACTGCAAGAATTAATGTGACTGAAAAGCGACCCTTTTTCCTTTTTGTTTTCCAAGCTGTTATTTTGCTGCACAAAGCATGCTTCGGAAATGAAGTGACGCGGATGTTGGTGCATTTTTCAACAGCTTGACGTCATCATCAAAGATGTCAACAAATCAGTGTGATGTTATCTAGGAAGAAAACTTTGTGGAGGTTGAAAAGACTCCTGAAAGACTGGTCCTAGGTAGACGCCATAAAGGTTACCATAACTCGACTGCTCTACTGGAATTGCAAACTGCACTCAGGAGGAGCTACACAGCTGCACGGAAACCACACATTGTGGACTTAGTTAAAACTTAACCCTTTAAACTACATCTTTTATACCAGTACAACTAATAACCCAGATTTTACCACCACGATTAAATAGATCGTGCC